AACCACAGTCATCAGGCAGAAATAAATGACGGGGGCAACAGCTTCAAATAAATTATTGAAGTTTTTACTTAGATGCCCCTCTCCAGACTGGCTTGGCTGTTGCTTTCTTTTTTGCTGCTTGAGCTCTTCCAGCTTTCAGCTTTAGAGGCTGGTTTCGCTTTAATTCTTTACCTGGTGTTTTCTGATCTGGTCTCTCCCACCAGCTGTTCGTTTTAGGCAAAGGACATGTGTGTGGTGTGTATGTTTTATCCTGATGTGTGTCAGTACATACATGATTTCTTTGGTTTTCCAGTGAACTCTACACTAGTTTTGGTGAAAAGGTGGAGCACCTCATCGAGAAAAACTACTACTGTGTCTATTTCTGAAATTATTTTTTTTTCTTTGTTATTTATGCTGATTTCTCAGCATGCTGCTACTTTTTAGATAGAAAAACTCAGCTTCTTCCAAAGCACTATTGCAAAGTTTTTTCCCCTCTTGTGGACATGAACATATTCCCATTCCCTCTAGACCATTTAGAGACACTGATTGACTTGGCTTTCTTTTCCTGATTGGAAGGATGGAGAAGAAGAAAAGATTGAGGATAGCTCTATTTTACCTTTTTTTTTTTTTTAACTCCTGTTGTCCATGGGTGAAACTTTTTCAGAAAATTTGAGTAAGTGGAAACTAGGCAGAAGAAATACAGATAGGGCTCAGATGAAAACCCACGCAGGGGGTTATGCAGAGAGTTTCTAGATCAAGCTCCTGAGAGCTCGGAGACCCTCACTGCTCCTGGTAGGAGAGCTCATTCTGAGTTGTACTTATCCACACTGTAGTACGTAAAAACTGAGAAGCTCTTGTTAGAATGCAGAAAAATTATGTTATTTTGGATGCTGTGCTGTCTCACAAAAAGTTGGTTGTCAGTATAAAAAATTCTATGTTCTCAAATGAATAGAAATTGCCTAGAGTTCCACTTAACCAGAGTAAAGAAACATAGACAATTGGAGCAAATATGTGCGTGTTTCAGTAGAAATATTAGAAGTCAGGGAAAAAAGTGTTGAAATTAAAATGACTGGTTATGAATGAGAATATTGATGTAATAGGCATGTTAGAAACTTAGTGGAAGAAAAATATTCAATGTGACAGGCTAATATTGGTGACAAATTTTGTGGGAAATACAGGTAAAGTCATGCCTGTCAAAGAGCAGATTTTTCTGTCTTGAAGTAAGCAGAGTCAGATCTCATAGATTAATTATGTCACAAAAGCAAAGAGTCCCTACAGATTGAAATTATGGGATTAAACAGGGCAAGTGGAACTGTAGCACCACAGCACTGCAGTACAGTAGTGGGACTGTAGTACTAAATAGTAGTCATCTGAATGGTGACATTGCCTGTGACAACCTGAACAAGATCAAATGGGGTGTGAAGATGGGAAAGGCAATAACAGTGGGAGACATCATTTACTAAATTAAGATTGCATAAATGGCCTGGGGGTGTGTGTGATTCTGAGTGAAATTTTAGCTTTTTAAAATGATTGCTCATATGGAGGCTATTTTTTGTCTGAAAGAAAAAGTAATTCTAGGTAATTCTAAATAATTCTAGGACCTGGTCTCAGACAGTGAGAGAAAGACCTCGTTCAAAATAGAGCTAGAACCTCTGTGTGAGAGCAACTAACGTGCTGAGGTACAGTATTCTTGAACCAGCAAAAAAAAGGGGAAAAAGATCTCCCATGGCAATGTTTAACTGCTAAGAGGAAACTACATAAAAATGTGAAAACTGTTTAAAAAGAAAGAGAGCCAAAATTTAAAATGTTTATAGGAGTCATGAAGATTGTTTAAATATGGGAGCTCACTGCAAGCTGACTTCCAGAAAAAGGCTTTAAAAGACCAAAAAAAGGTTTGCATAATGAATCAGCAGGGTGAAGGAGTAAGAGGATGTCTCTTATTAAAAGGACTTCTTTTGTTAAAAGTAGAAGAGCTTTCTTCACGTTGAAGTTGTGCCTGAATGAGGAAAACAAAGCATAAACATGTTAAATATATAAACAAAATAAGGCAGGCCAAAAGAGATCTTGAAGAACAGCTTGGTAAAAACTACTTGTAAAGCCATTTTCAAGCTGTCTTTAAGTAGGTAATGTCCTGAGAGAAAATCTACAGGACTAGTCAATGATCAAAGTAGGGGAGGTATTTAGGCACATGCCCATTCTGGAATATTTCTCTGTCAAGAACATATCAGAAGATTTGTTACAAGAAAACCCCAAAACAATATAAAAAATTTCAGAAGAAACTGGCAGCAATGCACAGTAAAAAATTAGCAGGACCAGATGGTATCCATGCATGTTGAAAGAACTAAAGTACAAAACTGCCAAGCCAGTAATGATGGTGTAGTGCTTAAAAGTTTCCCGGTCTGAAAAATACGACGGTGATAAATATGGCACCTGATCTGAGAAATTGGTAGGAACTGCAATTCTCCCTAGGCCCCCTTTTAAATAATTAGATTTATGGATAAGTATGATAAAAAGGGAAAGAATCAGCATAGCCTTCATCAAGGAACCCAGAATCTCTATTTATTTTTTTTTAAAGTAACTGAACATATGGACAAGGGTGATCCATTGGATAGAAGCTTTGACAGATAGTTGGTATTCCATAATATCCATTTGATAGATAGTTGATCTTCCAAAATTTGTTCAAGCGTGTCCTTCATCAAAGGCTCTTGAATAAACTTAAGTATCATAGGGTAAGATACAGGCCTCTCAGTAGTAACTAAATTAAAAAATAAACACATAGTAAGAGTACATGATCCTTTTTTGCTGCGGAGGGAGCTCGTCACTAGAGATCCAATGAAGCTGTAAGAGCCTGTGATGTTCAACTTACAAATGTTTTGAAAGGTACGGGGAGGGGAGGAGATGCCAGAGGTGGTAGAATTCACTGCTAGTACTGACATTATTCGGGGTAGGACAAATGAAAGATTGCAAACATCACCATTCCACCACCCAAACCTACCCTACACCCAAATCTTGACTTCTGTTTGCACTTTTGTCCTCTTTTCAAGAACCAGACCTCTTGTAGGATAATCAAAAGTGTGGAAGGGCTTGTCTGGAATAGCTTCCATTAAGGTCACAACTACATCAAGTTGGGTCTGGGAATGAGAGGATGGAGGGAAGGATTTGTAACAGCCTGTGCAGCACAGAGAAAATAAATGAGGAACGACACTCCCTGCTTACCAAATCATTCACCACGTGCGTGGTGCTCCTGCTGTTGGTGGCAGGTTCAAAACCAGCAAGAGGAAGGGAGTTTTTTGTATGACACATCGCTGAAATGTGAAGTTCACTCTCACAGGGTGTTGAGGATGCCAGTGGGTTACAGAGATTCAAAATGTTATTTCACAGAATTTGTGGAATTAAAACGCAGTTAGGTGATAGTAAAAACTACCACCTCAGCTTAGAAAGCCCCTGGAGCTGCTGTTTTTTAGAAGCTGGGATAACACCCTGAGGGAGTATCGTTACACGTTGCCTCTTGTACTCTTCCCTCAGCAGGTGCATGTGTCTGCTCTGAGAGATAAAGCACAGAGCTGGGGGAATCTCCCATCTCCCCAGTGCAGCTGCTGTGATTGCTTTAATGAAATATGACTTACTGCATAGTTCTTATTGCAACTGTTCCTGTTCATTCAGATCCAACCTTTATTTTATTTGTAGCTCTGCATTTAAAACAAAACAAAACCAACCCAAAAACCACAAACAAGAGCTTTGTTTGTCAACATTATTCAGTCATAGGGCTCTGATTGATGAATGGGGAGAGGATGTGAGCAGGAAGCCTGGAAATTCATCCCTCAGCTCCTGCTCTGCCGCGTGGATGTCTACTTTGCTTCTGTGTCCTGGCCCAAGCCACCTCAGTTTGTCAGGTGGGGGTGATGACTGCCTTATGCACTATTGGAGCCTGTCCAGCAGAGTCACAGAATCATGGAATGGTTAGAACTGGAAGGGACCCTAAAGATCATCAAGTTCCACCCCTCTGCCATGGGCAGGGACACCTCCCACCAGACCAGGTTGCTCAAAGCCCCATCCAGCCTGGCCTTGAACCCCTCCAGGGATGGGGCAGCCACAGCTTCTCTGGGCAACCTGTTCCAGTGTCTCATCCCCCTCAGAGTAAAGTCCTCGTGTTTGTCCAGACAAACCTTATTTTTATTGCTGTTATTTGTGGGCTCCTTTTAGAAGGGCACTGCCTACATCTTTCTTTTATATCTTCCCTGCCTCTTTTATATCTCCTCTTTTGCTTGCTACTGAATGCTTGCTGGGTTAGTGCTGTGCTTCTTCCATTCCTCCTCGCCCCAATATGTGACCTCTGAAGTAGATGGCCCTGGGAAAAGGCTTTATCCATGCTTTCTAGCTGCTTTATTTTTGTTTAAAGCAGATTATAACTGGCCTTGAGGGACAAGACTTGGTTTTACTAATTGTTTGATTTTAAACATTTTACTACCAAAACTGGCTTATTTCGGTTTCAAGGATTTCTTTATTCCTATTTTTATAATGTGTTTGGAATACACATTGTAAACATGTAATTCTTAGGTGCTGGCATCATTCTGTTTCTGGGGTGATTTCACTGGAATTATTTCTGCATAGTTTTGAGAATACATGGCTACCTCCCATCTCTGAGAGCATTTTTGGAAGTTTCTGGCAATCTAACCTGGAATCACTGCATTATTGAAAATCACATTGATTTTGCTGATTCTTTTATTTATTTTTTTCTTTTCTTTGTGTTTATTGCAACCAATTCTGATTTTTGGGAAACTGGTACAAGATGTTATTTATTGCAGTGTAAGAGCAGTAGGGTCTTCTTTAACTTTGCTCTTTTTTTGTTTTCCCTCTTCCATTTTCTCAGAGCAACGTTCAAGTCACCTTCTGGACTTCAAACACGAGGCTGGTGCAATTTGTTTGAAGTGAACAAAATGTGGATGTTGAGATTTCACTATGGCAGGCTATGTCATAGCTTAATTATTCTTTTTTTTTTCCTCTGTCATTTCTTTGTGTAGGTGGAAAATGTTCGGTTACTTGATCGTTTATCTTCAAGAAAAGCTGCACTGGGAACTTTGTATTTAACAGCTACCCATGTCATATTTGTGGAGAATGGTTCTGAAGCTCGGAAAGAAACCTGGGTATGAATTTTTGTTGGCTTTTTTTTTTTGTCAGTTAGCTGTAAGTGTGTGGCACTTCATTGATGGCAGTTTGAAAATAGCTTGCAAAACAGTTTAAACGTAGTGAATTAGTGCATATGGATGCTTTTATAACATCAGAGCGTGTGAAATTCCAGCCTGGTAATTTTTGAAAATTGTCAATGGATTCTGGATATTGCAACACAATAAGGGGAGCAGAAGGACCTTCACCGTACGAATACCAGATGGGATTCACTGAGGAGCTGCCTCTCTGAACTACAGTGTTGTTCCTATCATATAGGACAAATTGAGGAGAAATGCTTCAAACGTGAATTATTACCTTGATTCAGCCAGCTCTTGCCTCTCTCTCTGACTGTTTGTGCTGGATTAGTGATTTTGGTTTGGGGTTTTGGTTTGTTGGGTTTTTTTTGGTTGGTTGTGGGTTTTTTTGTTTGTTGTTGTTTTTTTTTTTTCCTGATGTAGTATTTTGAGTTATCTATTTTGATGGGTCTGTTTCCTCTGTGTGTCTACATACATAGGTACAGATATATGATGTGGGAGTCTTTTATGTAGCTTAATTATGAACCCTTTGTCCATTTTTGTACTAATTATTAATTCTATCCTCTTCTGGTCCCATTATTCCCCTTCTGATTGTTCCTGTAATGTTTTGTCCTATCTGATGCAGTATCAGGACTGCCATTCTGCCAATCAGGAGCCCCAACATTTTGGCCTTATCTAACTGATGCTCGTACACCTTCTAACTGTACAGAGAGATGAAAAAAGCTCTTTTTCTGGTAACTGTCAGCTTACACTAAGCAAACAAACACAAAGCTTTAGATAGCACAACCAGGCTAATGTTTGAGCAGCTGAAACATTCCAAGAGCTACTTTGTCTGTAGGTGATATATGAAGTGCTGCTTGAGCCTGAGGCTGGAGATAGGAACAAAACTACAAGAGGATTGTGGGTGTTTTCTGATACCTGGCACATGATTATGAATAATTATTTTTTTTCCCTAGACATTTGAATCACTTGGCATAACTGTTTTCAATTCCCACCCAGGTTCTTCACAGCCAAATTTCCTCCATCGAGAAGCAGGCCACCACTGCCACTGGCTGCCCACTGCTGATCCGCTGCAAGAACTTCCAGGTCATCCAGCTGGTCATCCCTCAGGAACGAGACTGCCATGACATTTACATATCTCTGATACGTCTAGCACGACCAGGTATGAGAAGGAAACTGGCACAGAAGTCCATCCTCATGGTGAAGAGGGAGAATACAATGGAAGGAGTGTAGCTGGGCACCTTTGCAGTTTGCAGGTTAAGAAAAAATGCTTAATTAGAGATGGTTATGAGAGAAAAGGTCTAGCAGTAGTAGACAAGCATATTAACATAATCACTTATGGAGCAATGAAGAAAGCACGTCATAACAAATAGTTCATTCCATAAAGTATGTCATGAACTTTTGTTGAAAATGATACTCTAGGCTATCACTGGCCATAAAATACATTATAACGCTATTTCAGGTGTCACTGTTGTTTACTGGATGCCTTGTGTAAGTGTGAATTTAGGAAAATACTGTCAAGTCTCTAAATTGAGGGAAATTTCACATTCCTGCTGTGACAAAAACCTTAAGATTTATTTAGTGGCCATGTCAAGGTCTGGATTTTCCCTTACTGTGCTTTGCATAAATTTCTTAAGATCAGTGAAACCTATTACAGCAAGTAGTTGATTTGTTCCACTGGACTGCCCTTGCCTATTATTGCCTAGGTTTTGAATGTGCCCTTTTTGAGTTTCTGAATTCAGGTGAAGTTCCTTTTGAAACTTTTCCTCTTTTCAGTTAAAATCTGTATGTTGCAGCAAAGTCCAGCATCTGATCCTCTGCGTTACAGCTGCTCTCCTAAGAAGCAGGGAAGGCTTCTGGATTGTTTGTTTTAAATGATAACTGTAGAGATACACCACCAGCCTCCATCCTTTACTATTATTTTAATAGTATGCAAAGAAAATGTTCACAAAACTGACAACATTGGCTTTACTTTGTGTCTTGCTAGGAGAACACCAATTTTGTCAACTGTGTAGAGGGGGGAAAAAATTGCACAGTCAGCCAGCACAACCACTGAACTTTCTAAAGTACCTTCTATAATTAGGGTGGCAGTGGTAGTAATACACAGCTGCAGCAGACGTAACTCGATAGGCCAGAGAGGCCAGGTGATGCAAGATGGAAGTAATTGGAGAAATTTAAAAACACGGAGACAAATTCAGTCAGTGGTTCTGCTGATGTAAATCTGGATGAATTCCATGGGCCTCAGTAGCAAGTGTGTGCCTCGTGCCTGCTGGAAGGAATGTGGTTCCCTGGAGCCAGGAGGTGGTGTGTGTACTGCTGCTCACCAGGACGGGACACTTCGATATGGACGTACCTAACAACGAAGAGGAGAAAAGCTATGGGACGCCAAATACCAGTGCAGTGGCAGGCTGCAATGGATGAGAAGGTTCAAATGAAGAAGGTGCCATACGAGCGACATACAGAATCACAGAATCTTCTAGGTTGGAAGGGACCTCAAACATCATCTTGTCCAACCGTCAACCTAACTGACAAAAATAGACACCCGCACAACAAACAAGGAGCATCACCATCACTAAACCATACCTCCCAGCACTACATCAACCTGTCTTTTGAACACCTCCAGGGATGGTGCCTCAACCACCTCCCTGGGCAGCCCATTCCAATGGCTGAGAACCCTTTCAGTGAAAAAATTTTTCCTAATATCCAGCCTGAACCTCTCCTGGCGTAACTTGAGGCCATTTCCTCTCGTCCTGTCACCTGGGACTTGAGAGAAGAGACTGACCCCCATCTCTCTACAACCTCCTTTCAGGTAGTTGTAGAGGGCAATAAGGTCTCCCCTCAGCCTTCTCTTCTCCAGGCTGAATAACCCCAGCTCCCTCAGCCTCTCCTCATAAGACTTGTGCTCCAGACCCCTCACCATCTTTGTTGCCCTTCTCTGGACCCGCTCCAGCACCTCTATGTCTTTTTTGTGCTAGGGGGCCCAAATCTGGACACAGTACTCGAGGTGGGGCCTCACCAGCGCCGAGGCTCTTTGCATAATTCAGCTGCACAGTAGTTATCTTTCTCCAGCAAAACATCTGATCTTCATGTGAGGCAGGATGAAGTCTTGCTTACTTAAAATTAGAAGGCCCCAGTTGCAAGTTGAGCCATATGCACCCTGACAGTGCTCTGCTGTGCCTTCTTCTCTGGGCACAAAGCTGTACTTTCCAAAGGTAACATAGTTACTCAGCATTCTAAGGTACTCTTTACTCCATGAGGAGAAAAGTTGACTAGGCCTTGGCCAGCAGTGGGTTCATCTTAGAGCTGGTTGGCATTGGCTCTACCGGACACGGGGGAAGCTTCCAGCAGCTTCTCACAGAAGCCACCCCTGTAGCCCCCTGGCTGCCAAAACCTTGCCACGCAGACCCAGTATGAGGTGTATGGCAGGATTGCAGATGCTTGTGGCAAAATAACTGGGAAAGGTTAGGGAAGGTCCTGTAAGTGCTGGAGAAGAGCTGATGACTGAGATTTAACGCACTGATTTGTTACCTCCTCTAGATACCATCATGTAATAATACTTGTAACGATGAGTCGGGCTTCTGTCATAAATAACCTGGATGTATTTTAACAGGTGGATTTTTAAAGGTTTCCCATGTGCCTCTGAACAGCAGGTCTGGTTGTAAAGAAAATCCAGGTGCTTCTGAGAACCAAGCAGTAAAAAAGAGCCCTCAGATTGCTACCAAAAGCTCTTTATTAAAATTAGCTCAGATTGGATTTATGGATTATGCTAAAACTTCATGTTAACAGATGAGAAACAAACCAGGCTGCCTTCCTAATCTGTGCCATGACAGAAATTTGAAATCAGAGACTGCAGAAAGAGTTTGAACCGTCAGATGATGTGCAAAAGATTTATTTCTCCTTACTCAGGAATTTGTTGACTTTCAGTACTTTCCTGGCAGAGGTGACACGGTTGTCTTTCCTTATGTTCATACTTTTTTGGGTGTGTATATACGACCACTTTAACTGAAGTTTAAAAAAAGCAAAATATAACTTAAATTACACCTTTAAAAGACATAATCAAAATAAAAGAAAAAGACTTTCTATAGAAAAAATAGAAGCTTTATTATTATTAATATTGTGGTTAGCCTTGTTATTATTTTTGTATCTATAAGTTCCTTATTGAAGTATTCTAAGACAGTCCTTATTAGGTCTATATTGTTAGAAAAAGTGTAGTGTTTAAATTTACTGATCTTGTTAAAATTGGATTGTGAAGCAAGTGTATCACTGGGAAACTATGAAATCAGAGAGGACTCAGTTCTAAAGTTAAAAATCCACTGGTCAGAAAGTTTTAGAGCAATAGAAGGAAACCTGGCAACATAACAATATGTCACGAGAATGTGCATTTCAAGCTATATGTTGCATATCTATTCATATCAGTGGCAGTTGGCAATTAATGGCAATGGTGTCTGGCTGATTGGTCACCAGGGTTAAGACACTCATTAGCATGAATAGGGATATGCTCCTAAAAGAAGTTAAAAACTCCAGCAAGTTTTTCATATGGTCCTTGACCAAGGGTGACAGGTGGCATAGCTACTTTAACGAGGTCACGATCGTGATGAAATGATTGATGTAACACGCTATTTTTATGCTATTGCAACATCTGTATCATGAATGCCTTTGCTAATAATTCAAGGACAGAATTTTGCAGTCCACAAAGCTAAAATTTCATTGAATCTATTGAAAACTTCCTTATTTAGTGACAAAGGCTTCTGAGTTAGTACATTTTTGGAAGATTGTGCAGCATAGTCCGTTCTTCAGATCTTTGGTCTTTGCCACAGGACAGATGTTCCGTTCATGAAGAGCAAATACTTTTGCAGAACAAGTGTTTATTCTGGCACTGAATTCGGTTTTCTTTGGATGAAATTGTATTGTCACTGACATTTTGTCTTTGTGCTGGGGAAGGATTTTACAATTCAGTAGAGAAGAGCAGGACGGTATATTTTAGGTAGCATTACTAATAAGGCAAATATATTGCAACACATAAAGTGAAAAAGACAGCACAGTATTTCCAAAGTATATTTGAAAATAAGTTATAAGCCAGGGTATTTTTGTGTAGCAGAGAATACTATTTTAAAACAGAAATTACATATAGGAAAATACTACAGTTTGGGTCTGAAGTATGATTTCAGGATAAGAAATCTGATGTGTTTTACTGGTTTTGTTTGTTTGTTTGTTTGCTTGGTGTTTTTCAGTGAAATACGAGGAGCTGTACTGTTTCTCCTTCAATCCAAAATTAGATAAAGAGGAACGAGAACAAGGCTGGAAGCTGGTGGACCTCAGTGAAGAATATAATCGGATGGGTGTTCCCAACAGCTATTGGCAGATCAGCGACGTAAACAGAGACTATGGAGTGAGTTGCTGTGATTTCTCTGTTGCAGTCTCACTGAGGACTAGTGAAGTGCTGGGATGCAGGATCCCTTTGTGCTCAGTGCTGTATGTACATCTAGTAAGGTGTGGTTCTTCCAGGCTTTTACATAAACAGGCACATAGAAAGGACATGTCTTTATTTAATATATGTGGAAATTAAGCACAGAAAGCTCGTCCGCAGTCAGTTTCCAACATCAGTGCTTGGCTGCCTGGGGAGAGGTTTAAATCATACTTAAATGTTATGTGTCTGAATGAGCATTTTCCTGATGTATAGGGTTATACAAAATTACTACACAGTCATTTTAAGACAAAAGTTTACTTGAAATAGTGGATTTGGCAATATTTTTCCTCACTGGCCATCCTCACAATGCTTTTGAAGACCCTGTGGTCGACTGTTAGTGTTTTTCACAGCCATGACAGGTCATATCTCTTCCTAGCTGTCCTGCCCAATTCAGTCCTGTACAATTGAAGTCCCTAGAATGTTAATTAATTGTGAGAAATAATAACCCAAACATTTTTGAAGGAAGTTTGTGCACGCACTCCATTGGCTCTGCTGCTGGAGCACATCCATGTTAAGAAAGGCCTGTGAAGTTCTCAGAGAAGACTGAATGTGCTGTCAGGGTTTGTTTTCTTTTTGTTAAAACAGCGGAAAAAATGTTTTGACCTTTTTTAAGATAAAGTGTAGGAAAAATGGCATCATGAATAAAACCCAGTTGACCACAGAGGCATCTGTAACCACAAGCCCTTCCTTTTCTTTCTTCTCCTTCATTACTTATCTTTAGCTCTCTCAGAACCTAATTTTTTCCTGGGCATCCTAATTCCTTTAGTCATCTCAGAAAGTCCCAGGGAGATACTGGATACGCTTTTGATCCCAGCCAGAATGCCATAGGCAGGATCAGGAAAAAGAAGTTAGACCAGGACCCATTTGTGGTCCCACTTCTCTCCAGAGGAACTTCTGGGCTTTTTTGCAGGCTTGTTGGGTTCCTTTCAGATGTAGAAGGCATTTTCAGGGCTGCTTGCCTTTTGCAAGCATTTTGGTATCCTCATTTTATTCGGAATAATTTCTCTTGTCTGAGTCCCTGGTATCCTCATTTTATTCGGAATAATTTCTTTTGTCTGAGTCCCTGTTTTTGTCTTTTTTCTTTTTTTTTAATTTTTATTTTTTAATTATGAGATTTGCTGGAAAATTTGGCTCTGTAGTCTCATCCCTTGATAAGAGAGGGGTGTTTGAGAACTTCACCCCCTCCCATCCTTACTTCCTAATTCAGCTGCAGAGGAAACCTCAGCTGTAAATACAACCTTGCTCTATATAACAGTCAATCTTTCCTGGTTTGAATGTATGGTCTACCTGTTTATTCTCAATGAGGCATGAATTAAAATTTGGAAATATAGCTCTTTAATCCTTCTGCTTCAGTTTTGCCATCTGTAAGTTAAAATTAATGCTTTCCAGCTTCAAAATACTGCTTTGAGAAATGTAGGTGATGTGTATACAATAATTATGGAATATTCCCTGAGATTAGAGTTCCTTGGCATTTTGGTTTTGCTGTGGAGATAGTTAATGCTAGTTGTATTTTGTAGACCAAATCATCAGAGTTCCCTTTCACAGGTCTGTGACTCTTACCCTACGGAGGTGTATGTGCCAAAGGCTGCGACTGCACACATCATCGTGGGGAGCTCTAAATTTCGGAGCCGAAGGCGTTTCCCAGCTCTTTCCTACTACTGCAAGGATAACAATGTAAGTGTGAATTTGTAGCTGTGAAGTGTTTGCTTATTTTGGCCTTGCTTTCGTAATTCTTCTGTTAAGCTTTCACAAGAAGAAATCAGTGTTTATTTTAAAAAAAAAATATTAAAAGATGGTTCGTGTAGTCTGTTTAGTATGGTTAGTTCATTAATAGGCATTTAATGCAGTCATTTAAACCCAGCTTCAGCATCCAGGTAATCCGAAAAGATGTGATCCCTGTATCACAAGGAAGTGGAGTAGTACAAGAGGTCCTGAAACGTGGGTGGCAGAAGAGTGAAGGCCAGTAGCAGAGAGCTTAGCAGGTGATTGGGAGGAGAACAGAGCAATTTAGGATGTGGTAGCCACAGCCCGAGAGCAAGTCAAAGAGGAGGAAAAGTCATACTTGCAGCAATTACAGAATAAGGAGTAGTGTCTTCAGAAAAGATCTGTGAATAGACCCAAAAAGGGTGGATGAAAAAGCTACCAATTTTGGCTGAGCAGCGTGTCGTGGCTTTGTTGAAGAGACTCTCCTTGCCTGTAAGGACGAGGGGTGCCACCTTCTCCTCTCCCTGACAGATATTCTCAGGGCTGAGCGAGGAACTGCCTCAATTGTCTGTCACCATTTGGAAAAAAACTTGTACCTAGACTATTTGCATTTCTATTTCTGGCAGCTGAGGTGAAGGAGACCCTTGGACTGAAGGATCCCATGGACTGAATGTTTTTCCATTTGCATCCCAGCCCCCTAGGGACTGGCTTAGCTCAGCTGTCACTACCGGTTAGGAGGATGGTGTCCCCTCTGTACTCACAAAGGATCTGTGTGTCTAATATCTCCTGTTTCAGTCCCAGACTGGCAATTACATCAAGAGGTCTTCCCTAGGGCTGGGAGATGGCCAGGACTTCCCAAGAGACAGAGCTAGTGTGGGATTGCAGGGCGTCTGTAGAGTCTGCCAAGCAGGATGGGAGATGTTTCCATAGGATGTCACAAGCAGAAATCATAACCTATAGTCTCCATGGAAATCTTATCTTTACAGTGGCCACTATAGGTTTAAGCTTCAGAAGGAAGGAATGAGACATAATTTTGACCCCTTTTTTACCCGTTATTTCATCAGAATTCTGCTTCCATAAAGATCTGTGAATTTGACAGCAAAACAGGAGGATAGGAATGTTTAAATAGTAAATACATACAGCCTCTGCATAAATTCTTTATTATCTTTAATATTTCATTAGGGTCAAAAGTTTCAAAGTTAATCACTTTGGATAATCAAGTAAGTCCAAATATAGATATCTAGGATTCAAAACACCTGGACATTTCCAAATCTCGGTGAAAGAAAAGGCCTGAGGGATCAGCTAGATTCCAATATATAGTGATCCAGTTTGGATGAGTTCCGTGGTTTCAGTCTGAATGTTTTCTCTGTTGGAGTTGGAGTTCAAGTGAAGGTTCAGGTCACCAGGATCTGAAGCATTGTGTTTAATCCTGGATCCTTTGCAGTTCAAAGGGCTAGGAAAAGGGTTGGGAATGTTGGGGGAAATACCTCTTCATGAGTTAGAAGGTTGCCATGAGTTGCCAGCAAGAGAGTGGGGTAAGATTCCTGATGGTAGACATGGAATAGCTATGGTGACAGCAGGTTGGGAAGAGGTCTTCTGCATGCAGGGGAGGTGGGTGCCAATCGTCCGGTCTTTCATACCCAGAACTTTCCCTCAGCTCTTTGGTACTGACAAATTCAGTGATGGTGGGACACCTTGCTCTGTGTGAATGTGACAAGATCAAATTCTGGAACTATCAGTTGAGTCTGTGCATTAGCAAAACATGACCCTCTCTTGCCCAACTCTTAAACATAGCCCAAGGAATGTTATAGACAAACGTGCTCATCCTAAGAAATTGGCCCAGGTGAGCAGAAGGAGATCTCTTCATGGATATCATGTGCAGTGATTCCCAGTTATGGTATTTAGTGGTCACTGGATCAGCTTATCTTCCTCTAGTTTTGCTGTGCTGGCAGTGCAGCTATTGCTAAAGCTGGGGCTAAACATGGTCTTAACCCCAAGCCTGACTTGACAGAGAAGCCATTCTCTCATGCTGGTGCCAGCACCAACACACACCTTAGAATTTGGGGCTTCCAGGATGACAGAATGCAATGGACTCCAGCCCACACTTTCCCAAATCCTAACCTTCATCCACAACCCTAACTTCAACCTTAACCTTGAGGGCCATATCTGCCTTGTGTGTGGTACACAAGGGACAAGAGAGAAATGCCTTTCTTCTACTAAAATGACATGTTGTGGAGATATTCACATGCACCTTTTGCTTCATGCAAAGAAGGTATAAGCATATATTAAATCACTGGAACGTGGGCTAATCAGCAGGCGAGGCTCCTGATAACTAATAATCTGTTTGCAAAAACTGTTAGTAAAGCGTGAGCAGGCACGATTCAGGGTTTCTGTATTAAAGATCCACGTTTTACCGATTGACTACTGATACTTCAAAGACTTGGCTGAAAATGAGCATGTCCCTTCTCACAGTAATAAATAATCTGTAGGGCAGTCCGCACGGGTCACGACCTTCAGCAGACAGATTCTCATCATGCTTATGTTCAGTGCTTAGAAAGTGCCCTTGGCCCCCTTGCCCTCTACAAATCTAGCTGCCTAGCAGAAATTAAACCCTCCCTGCTCACCCATTTCACATTCTGTTCCTTCTTTCCCAGTTTCATCTGGAGGTCTGATCCTGATGAGTCTTGATTGATTAATAACTGTGCTCCAGGAGTCAGGCTGCCTGAGTCACTTCCCATGCAACGAGGTCTTTCTCCAGAGGCTGTGCTAAAAATACACCACCCTCACTGATCTGTCCAGCTGGATGTTAGGCATTTTTGTTTCCTGGACTCATGGTGTCTCAGGCTGTTTAGTAAAGCATGCGTTGGTCTAAATTGGGTATAATCAGTATCCCCACTGGTAAGTGGGAGTGACAGTGCAAAGGGACCCATTCTTCATCAGGAAGAGAGTGACCAGCAGGTTGAGGAAGCTTATCCTCCCCCTCTACTCTGCCCTGGTGAGGCCCCACCTGGAGTGCTGTGTCCAGTTCTGGGCTCCCCAGTTCAAGAAGGACAGGGAACTGCTGGAGAGGGTACAGCAAAGGGCTTACAAAGATGATTAAGGACCTAGAACATCTCTTGTATGAGGAAAGGCTGAGGGACTTGGGTCTTTTAGTCTGGAGAAGACTGAGAGGGGATCTCATCAACACCTATAAATACTTAAAGGGTGGGTGTCAAGAGGATGGGGCCAGTCCTTTTTCAGCATTGCCCAGTGACAGGACAAGAGGGAACGGGCACAAACTTGAACACAGGAAGTTCCATCTAAACTAAAGTGAAGAGGAGGAACTTCTTCACTTTGAGGGTGGCAGAGCTCTGGGACAGGCTGTCCAGAGAGGTGGTGGAATCTTCATCTCTGGAGACATTCAAAACCCACCTGGACAGCAGGTTCCTGTGCAACCTGCTGTTGGTGGACCTGCTTTGGCAGGGGGGTTGGACTAGATGATCTCCAGAGGTCCCTTCCAACCCCGTATCATTCTGTGATTTTGTGATTCATGCTATACCAGTGTTCTCATGATTGCAGGGTTGTACTCCTCGCGTCCTCTAGACACCACCTTTCAGGAGTTATTCTACATTAGGGAAATACTATAGTTAAAATAGCTCTAAAACTTGGATTCAAGACTACACCTGGGCCAATGGGATTGTATTGTTTTAAGATTTCCTTGCCTTTTAAGGATGAATTTGCTTATTAACTTGTAATTCATTTTACCATTCTGCCCTTCCCACATAACTGTACATCTAATGAGCTGTTTTGTATATGCTTCTGGATGCTGAATAATTTCTGCTTCATAACGATGGTGATTTTTGGTTTTTTGATTGTTTTTCTGCAGGCATCCATCTGTAGAAGCAGCCAGCCTTTGTCTGGCTTTAGTGCTCGATGCCTTGAGGATGAGCAGATGCTCCAGGCCATTAGAAAAGCAAACCCAGGGAGTGATTTCCTATACGTTGTTGACACTCGGCCCAAAGTAAGTACATTCAATTTCTGGCACGTAGCAAGACTGAACCTGGGCTGATGCACAGGGAGGATGCACAACCCAAATGGCTGACCGTAGTTCTGATCTTAGTTGCACCTGGGTAACTCCACAGGTAAATCAAGATTTATCAGGGGGAATCTTCACCTGGAACCTTGCCCACATTTTTATCCCTTAAGAGGATGTTTTTCTTTACACTGAGCTTTTCTCTTTTTTTTTTCTTTTTTGTTCTTAACAGAATGTCGAGATACAGAGAAGTAACTAGCTCAGAATAGAACTATTTCTGCACACAGAGGAGCTATCAGTAGCTGTGTTACTGACGGGGTTAGCGAAAAATAATTCCCATTATAAACCTGTATTTACAGTTGTTTGTGATGGTGCAAACCTCTGCCTGCTTATACTAAAATCTTCCATGCAAAATTTCTCCTGCAAGTGGGAAAATTTCAACGACCTCTGCATAAGGCTAAGGAAAGACCATTTGATGAGGTGACAAGAAGGAGACCTTCTTTGAATATCTCCAGCACTTTTGTGGTTTTGAGAGAGAGTCTGAAATATGGTAAATAGTGATCTCAGATGCCAAATCTCTTTAATTGACTAAAATCTTTGGCCAAGATAAAAGCTTTAGAAAAAAAATATGCTGTGCAGAAACACTGAAACTCAGTCGTGATCTAGAGGAGGCTGGAAGCTAAAAAAGCTTTGTGTCCAAATTTGGCATGCTAGCAAACAGGTGATGAGAGCTAGATAGGCTTCAGTGTCTGGAGGTGGGAGCAGGGATATAGTCTTTCTTACAATATCAGCAGCTTCTCTGCTGAAGCTGAACTTCTGAAGCTACCAAAGCACCTGAAGAAAAGATACCAAAGGGGCAAATCTCCACAAAATCCCTAGTAGATCTAGGATGTGGGGGAAGAGGGAAAACAAGACCAAAGGCTTGAGGAAAAGGAACAAACAAGGAAGCTGTTTCAGCAGCCTGAGATGAGGAGACAGAGCCTGGAGGGGCAGGGTGGCTGAAGCTGAGAAACATGAGGAATAGAGGGAGGAAGGACAAACCTGGCAGAGATGGAACAGAAATGAGGCACCTGTCTGGTTGGTGACTGACTGAAGCTCTGGGGGCTGGTGGGGAAGTGCTGAGTGCTGGCAGCTGTAATGGGAGGCAGGAGACAGATAAATGGGGCCTTGGCATGTCTTGTTGCACTTTGTCATTTGGTGACTACTTAGACCTCCAGTTCCCTCTCTTTTACTGGGAAGACAAGGATGGTACCACCTTGTTTGTGGTCCTGAAGCGAGTCGTGATAAGCACTAGGAAAGGATGGGCACAACTGTGTTCAGAGCAGGGTTTGGATGGGAATTAGAGACCTGGCTGCCTAAATAATGCTTGTTTAATGGTTTTCTGTATGTGATAATATTTATAGCTTAGCATTTCCTGGCTGATGATGTTAGTACTCTTTCCTAATTGAGGCTTGCTCATTGATGGGATTTATTAGTAATGACTTACTGACTTGGCTATTAATGATGTTTTGCAAGGTAGTAACAGGAAGGACCCATCCTGTAAACCTTTCTGGGAAGTGACTTTGGTGAGACACCTCCTGTGTGCAGTGAAAGAAGCCTGTACTTTAAGGGGAGAGCATGAAATTGGCTCATTTATTCATGAACGACAGCATATGTCCAGCAATACTCCTTCTTCAGGAGCCACTCAGCAGATGAAAACTGTTTGTTTTCATTTAATTTCTCTGGGGAAAAACAAAAAAAAAAGTTTTGATGTGAGGACATTTATATGAACAGATTCCTACTTATCTCTGTGCTCCAAGAATGGACTGATTTTTCTAAAGCTCCTGATTCCCAGGTGCCAAATACAGCCTTGTTACAGCTGTTAGTTAATTTTGCAGCTCCTGATGCATGTATAAATCTAGAGCTCGTAGGAAGTGATAGATACCAGCGCAAGCGGTTCCTGGCATTCCCCAGGGAACCTTTAACAGAAGGTAAGTTGTTGAGTCTGGTGCAAGTGCTGTAGGAAGCTAAACAACTACCTTCCTCTTCTCTCCTCAGAACTGCTTCCTTGCAAAGGTGATGAATATTGATGGGGCAGGGAATTCAGCTTTCCCCAGAGCTATTCATGTGCTGTCCCTCATTGTGCTTGATACTCTTCAGAACAAAAGCTTTGGCTGCAGAGGAAAGCTTTGTTTCCACTTCACTTAAATACACCAGGATGGCCATATGCAGAGCTTTACTCAGCCTTCTGTCTGTCTTCATTTTCTCCTTCCTCTATGTGTTTACAGAAGAAGTTAGTGTAAAATGACTGCTTATGAGTGAAACAAATTATTCCTATAACTCTTTATAACAAGGCAGGACTCGGTTATCCTCCACATTAAAGAAGATGCCAGGAAATCTGGCAAGTGAGGGCTGTTCCCTTTAGAGTCTGGCTCCTCGTATTCACTGAGATTAAGTGAGGACAGGCATAATTTGGAGAGCTTTGCAACAACTGCTTTAAGAGCAACAGATGGAATTTTGGTAGGTGATGTGGAAAACTTGTTAGTAAATATTGTGGCAGCTGCAAAGTTTGGCAACTGACAGTATTTAAAATAAATGAGTGTCAGAAAGCCTTGCAAATTTAACCTTATATTTATTTGCTTTTAAAGAGGGCTATTTCAGACTGTCTTCATAAAGGATTTCTGTGATAAAATTGCTGTGCAGCAGAGACAGTTAATAGCATTTATTTTACCAAGGATTAGGTCAGTTGGGGGCTAGATGGTTTTCATTTAAGGTTTTGGGGGTTTAGATTTATGTGCACAGATCTTTCTTCCTGAAGCTCTCTGCTATTGCAGAGAGATGCTGCTCCATGTTGTTTATATTAGAACACTGATGTCTACTTCAAAAGATAAAGATTAGGATTCAGCAGATAATTTTTATCTTTCTAACAAGTCACACTGAGGACTCTGTCCTTAAAGGACATGCTGTTCACAGGCTGTATCTTTTTTTTTTTATTGTTCATTGATAGTCAAAACATCAGCAGAGTGCTGGTTGATAGACAAGATTTTTGGGTTTTTTTCCTGCACTTTCCTGAACTGCATACTACAAGTTAAAATAAGTTTTACACGAGATTTGAGTAAATTAAAAATGCTGGGTTTTTTTGCCTAGGCTCCTATCTTAGAATATGGTTCCTTCTGTTGTATCATCAAATTCATGCTGTTTCAGTTCCTAATGGTGGTCCACAAATGTAACTGTGTGCTCCTATTGCCAAGTCCTGCTCGTGGGAATGGATGCACTAGGAAGTGTGAAGATGGGGAAAAAGTTCCCTATCTTCACATATTAAATTGGACAGAATAAAAGAATTGAGAAGTGGTCTCACCTACCTGTTTTCTTTGCATCTAAAATGAAATTATAATGCCATAAAAAGCTTTTAGTCTTTAGCTGTTTTCTTTGAAAGTTAAGGGGTCAAATTTGCTCCATAGAAACCTGTTTTGACCCGATATATGAAAAAGCTGGACTTGTTCATCTTAGTTGGAGATGGGTTGGCAGCAGACAATCAATCCTACTCGATTGTATGCGTTAGGCTCTGATTTAAAATTTAATATTGGCAGTAGGAGTGGAAGAGATCGGGAAGAGACACATTCTTGTCTCTTGATACTCATGGTACCATCAGCCGAGTAGTGAAGCATATTATTGTGAGTTTCGGGAGTGACCACAGAAGCAGCAAATCAATAGCTCTGTCTGCAATATTGGGAAATAAAGTGGAAACAGAATTATCTGCACAGCCTCTTGTCCCCCAGGCAATGCCTAAGGCACACTTTGTTTAGATATTTCATGAGCACTGCCTCTCAGTGCAGTGAAGACAAGTCACTTTTGTCCAACTGATGCCTCATAAGGTCTCTCCAAAAGCTTCGTTAGTGCCCTCCAGTCTGGATGTGCACCATCCATCATTATTTAATTATTAAAGCTTTCCTGAGCAGAAGCTGTTAGTTGTCTGGGGAGAAGCAGGTATGCCATGTGGGATGTTTTAGTTCTTCTTGGAGCCTTTGTATTTCTTGGGAAGTTCAAATGCTCCCCAACCTTACAGCTTGCATTTCGTAGGAGAACAGGGACTTCATGCAAAGGGACAGTTTCTTTCTATTGGACAGTGAGATTTCACTATTGGAAATAATATATAAATAAATATAATAAAATAGATGGGGTATTAAAGTACTTAATTCATTTCTCTCAGCTCTAGTTTTCAGCCCAGAGATCAAAATCTGGCATAAGGGGCTTGGCAGATAATTTTCTTCCCCCCTCAAGAATTTCAAAAGGGGGCAAAATAAGCATTAAAAAACACCCTTAATTTTATGGTTGGGAAAACTGAACTAAAAAAGCCTTCCGTGACTTTCCCATGCCAGGAAGCAAGTAACAGATTCACAGGCAAAACTCCAGCTTCCAGTTGAATGTGTTTTTTGCTGAAGCACAGCAAAATATTTGATAGCCCTGCGCTGCAGATGAAAATATTTGCGGTAATTTTGTCAATTTAAATCTGTTGTGGGCTTACGCAACTAGAGCCAAGCTACTATAAACACAGGGAAAACTACTCCAACCCTCTCTTCATTATTCCAAGCTTTGAAGAAAGAAGCTGTATCAATTTTTGGACGATTTGAGCAGTAAAACACAGTAATTTGGGCAACATTACAGTGAAACCATGGCACGGCAGATAAGACACTGCCACCTCCTGGTTTGTTCTGCTGGTAAACATAATGCTGGTCAAAAAATGAAATTAGAATAGCCTTTTGAAAACAAATTAAAACCTTTATGCTCTTGCAGAGGAGCCCTACATACACTGTGTTTTTGGACCTCACTCATGAAGTTGACACTGGAATTGTGTGGAATGGAGGTCAGAGCTCAGCAGCCCAGCGCCCTGCAATGGGCTGTGAACAGATCCCCGATTCCTAACCCGTTGTGTTGACACCCTGATAAATGCCTCCTATTTGTGCCTGCCTTAAATCACTCAGATTTATTGCAGTAGACCATGAGCTTTGTTTTGAAAAAGAATCTGTTTGCTACTGGTTTTCATCCAATTTTCCCTAATTTTTTTTTTCAGCTCAACGCTATGGCAAACAGAGCAGCAGGGAAGGGGTATGAGAACGAAGACAACTACTCCAACATCAAGTTCCAATTCATAGGCATCGAGAACATCCACGTCATGAGAAACAGTCTGCAGAAAATGCTTGAAGGTAACTCTCTTTTTTTTTTTTTATTGAAAACTGGAGGAAAGATTTGATCCTTCTGTCATGTAAAACCAGGGGAACTGCTCTGAAATTGGCAGCAGTGAGAATGGGCATGAGAAGAGAACTTTCCCTAGTGTGCTGAATGCAGCTGCCTGCTGACTGGTGGGACCCGTGCAATGGAGCATCGTGGCAACCAGGGGGGATTTCCTAATTGTGCAAACACCTTGTTCCATGGGTGAAATCCAGGTGTCGTTTACTTTAGTGGCGAAATTCATTTGACTTCAATCCACCTTACTTCTGCTACCTCGTCTTCTGCGGCTTACAGTTTGATGGTATAATGAAAAAAAAATCACTTATGCTGATTTTGATGCTAGTGGAAAACATAAGAATTTGGTTTTTAAGCTCAGAGAATGTATGTTTTGATTTCTGTATGTTGTCAATAAGGAGTCATGCATTTTAGACTGGGATTTTTTAATAGAAACTTACTCGTGCCCTGTATGGAGCATGTCACATCGAAACTCACAGTCAATGGGTGTAACCATTCAGCACCTTCATAATCCTATCAAAATTAATAATAATTGCTTTATAAATACTTATCAGTGTATAAACGAGCACATCTGCATTGCCATTTAATATTTTGAGTACATTACTGTTTAGATGCCTTCTGGAAAAAGGGTAAGAATAAATTAAGCCATCCTTGACCCTCAACATCTTGTTGACTTCTAACAAGCAGACAGTGAATAGTGCTCACTGCACAGAGTCTCTCTATTTACTTCATGTGTGTCATCAACACCTTCTTTCACCTCCTGGATCAGCTTCATTTGGCTGTTCTTGACTTGAGGCTCTGCCCGTGCTCTCTTGTTCTTCATCTGTCTGCATGTAAATGTGAATTTTAGATCTAAGCAGGGGCTCCCATTTTCCATGACAGCACAGCTGTGCTCTGTTTTCAGATGAGAGCAGTTTATGAAAGCCAACAGTAAAGTGTGTTGTAGGTAGAACAGTCACTTTCTTCATGACCTATTTTGACTTTTTCCTTGGTCTCAGGATCTCAGGAAGGCAAATAGAAGGATTTTCAGTTCACTGCAGAGCCTTGTTGGGCTAGGAGAGAGGGCAGGTGAATAAACCTGTCACTATTTATTCAGCTTAAGACCATCAAAGCCAAAATAGTAAACAACCAGCCTGGCTGCGTGGGACAGTGCTGCGTGTTGGTTTTGAGCCAAAAGTTTGAGCCCAAACTGACATGTAATGAGGTACTTTCTAATGCATTGAACGCTTCAGGCTGCTTGGGGGGGTCGGGGCATAACTTCTTGACATCTATTTTTAAATGAGCCATGTGCTCAAAACATCTGCTTTTTTTTTTTCATTGGTTTTATCTTTGCTGTGTTGAAGTGTCATATTTATTGACCTGGCTGATAAGATTAGAAATCAGAGAAGTTAAATCTGTAGTTTCAAACACTTGAGCCTTTCAAGTAGTTTTGTTTTCTTTTTTTTAAAGAAATCTTATGACTTTCAGCACACAAGCAGGGCTTTTCTCATGGAAGGGGCTGCAGAGTTTTCATCTTTTTCTGTTTGTAATAGTGTCCCTTCATCTGCTTCCCCTGTGGCCTTTAAAGGGTATTTATTACCCAACTTGCACATACAAGAGGAACCAGGACCAAAAAGGCCGCCACGATCTATAATAATATAAATTTAATACGGCTTTAAATTTTTATGGAGGAGTATCTAAACACACCTGGGGGAATCTCTAAGGTAAAGCATCACATCACCCTACCAGCATTACAAACTGTATCTGCTGCTCCTGGTCTGTTCTAAGGTGTTAGAAGGTACATAAAAAACCTTTGAAAAGATGAATGGGGCTGATGACAACTGATTTGAGTTTAATGTGGGCTGTCTTGTCGCTCGGAAGCGTGTACAGCACAGGGCATCAAAACATAACAGGGCTGACGTGTTGCAGGGGTGCGAGGCCAATTTTAGCCCATTTACTGGGATTAAGCAGAAGTGAAGGTTGGAGGATCTTTTCCACGTAAGAGACTGCAGGTTAATTTCAGTATAAATTTTTAAATAACTTCCAGTGCTGAGGAAATTTGAACAAAAATGGAGTGTTTAGTTTTCCATTGGAAAAGGCACTTCACCAAAACATAACAGGGCTGACGTGTTGCAGGGGTGCGAGGCCAATTTTAGCCCATTTACTGGGATTAAGCAGAAGTGAAGGTTGGAGGATCTTTTCCACGTAAGAGACTGCAGGTTAATTTCAGTATAAATTTTTAAATAACTTCCAGTGCTGAGGAAATTTGAACAAAAATTGAGTGTTCAGTTTTCCATCGGAAAAGGCACTTATATGGGGAACATGTTCATTTCAATGATGTTTCTTTCAGAAAAAGCTGAAGAAATCAATTTATACTTATAATAATGTCAATAATTTATGAGTAGGTAATAATTCAGCTTTGTGATTTTACTGACTGTAATTCTAGCAATTTTATTTATCTTAACTTCACCTTGTATTTACTCTTGTATAGTGTTATTTCGCCCTTTGTGATTTTACTGACTGTAATTCTAGCAGTTTTATTTATTTTAACTTCACCTTGTATTTATTCTTGTATAGTGTTATTTCAGCAAAATATATCAGGGTTATAAAATGATTAAATTTGTAGGATAAGGAGAATCTTTTCAGAATATGCAAAAAATGTTGAGATTTGACTGTACTCTGGAAGTAAAATGCATTTCAACATGCTGGTATTTCCTTCCAGAAGAAAAAAAAAAGTTTTACTTTTGTCTCTGCAGCTTTAGTATCCTTCCAGAAGAAAAAAAAAAGTTTTACTTGTCTCTGCAGCTTTAGTATCGTATTGATTTTTATTAATTTATTTTTTTTCATTTAAAGAGAGGTACATGTGAAGATCCTTGTGATATTTTTGATCCTGTGGTCCAACCTCCTTGACATAATTTTTAGCATTGGAAGGAAACGTTGCACAAGGACTTTTCTGGGTAAAGATCCAAGGGCTGCCCGGGGCTGGTGTTTGGCAGGTGTGACGGGTGAGCTTTGCCGTGCGTCCGGGGGCCAACCAAGACTTGACCCCCAGCTGTTGTGCGTTGAGGGGATGACCCCACATGGTCCCTCTCTGTATTTAAACAGCAAATATGAGCTTCTCCTCCCCTCATACCAGCAGCATTAGTTGCTGATGTAAGAGCAGCCCTCTGATCCTTGGACTTCAGTGAGGGTTTGGCCCGTGGCATTTATTCCTTCCTCTACCTACGACCGTCCTACCAGAAATGGGGGAACTGGTCCAGCATCCCCCTCTGGTGCTTTTGCTGGTGGAAGAGGCAGGTTCCACCATGTGTCCTGGTTCTTCCACCCCTCCACACCCTGGATTGCTATGAGCTCTGCCCAGGGGTGGGTTGATTTTCCTGTGCCAGCAGGTCTTGTTTCTTCCAGATTTTGCTGCCTTTTCTGCTGAAATGCCTTTTCCCCTTAGGATAAACTTCTTAATTAAATTCATAATTGAACTCAGTATTAAGGTCCAGATCAGTAGCCAAAAACCATGTGAAATGCCCAGTGTATATCTGTAGGACAGTCTGAACTTTGCCCAGTGAAGTGGTCAGTAAATATTGACTCAAATTTGGTAGTGGGAATGAGCAAAGCACTATTTCAGCCTTACCTTGGGCTTTTGTCAACAGAGAGAGCAGCTTCAGCCAGAATTCAGCTACTAATTGGTCCTGCTTCCATCTGCACAGGGGCATTAATCATCTGAAACGCTGTTTGCTTTCCGTGCTGCTATCTGTGCGTTTTTATAAATATCCTTCAAAAATGACTTTTAAAATAACCATCTGGGAGAGGCCCCGCGTACAGAGATCGCACGACTCTGTGTGGACACATTAAGATATTTTGCCTCTGAATGAGAGGGAGTTATTCCAGGCAGGTACACTCAGAACTGGTATAAACTCTGGCTCTGGATTGGAAAATTAGATTCCAATCACATTGAAGAAAACTAACATTACACCACTGGCCGTAATTAACGGAGTCCTGTAGAAGATTTCCAGAGGACAGGAGACCTACTAGGACATTATTAATTCACAGGTCATACATTAACTTAAATAATACTAAAGCTACTATAATAATAAATAATACTTTTTTTTTTTTTTTTTTTTTTCATTTAAAGAGAGGTGCATGTGAAGATCCTTGTGATATTTTTGATCCTGTGGTCCAACCTCCTTGACATAATTTTTAGCATTGGAAGGAAACGTTGCACAAGGACTTTTCTGGGTAAAGATCCAAGGGCTGCCCGGGGCTGGTGTTTGGCAGGTGTGACGGGTGAGCTTTGCCGTGCGTCCGGGGGCCAACCAAGACTTGACCCCCAGCTGTTGTGCGTTGAGGGGATGACCCCACATGGTCCCTCTCTGTATTTAAACAGCAAATATGAGCTTCTCCTCCCCTCATACCAGCAGCATTAGTTGCTGATGTAAGAGCAGCCCTCTGATCCTTGGACTTCAGTGAGGGTTTGGCCCGTGGCATTTATTCCTTCCTCTACCTACGACCGTCCTACCAGAAATGGGGGAACTGGTCCAGCATCCCCCTCTGGTGCTTTTGCTGGTGGAAGAGGCAGGTTCCACCATGTGTCCTGGTTCTTCCACCCCTCCACACCCTGGATTGCTATGAGCTCTGCCCAGGGGTGGGTTGATTTTCCTGTGCCAGCAGGTCTTGTTTCTTCCAGATTTTGCTGCCTTTTCTGCTGAAATGCCTTTTCCCCTTAGGATAAACTTCTTAATTAAATTCATAATTGAACTCAGTATTAAGGTCCAGATCAGTAGCCAAAAACCATGTGAAATGCCCAGTGTATATCTGTAGGACAGTCTGAACTTTGCCCAGTGAAGTGGTCAGTAAATATTGACTCAAATTTGGTAGTGGGAATGAGCAAAGCACTATTTCAGCCTTACCTTGGGCTTTTGTCAACAGAGAGAGCAGCTTCAGCCAGAATTCAGCTACTAATTGGTCCTGCTTCCATCTGCACAGGGGCATTAATCATCTGAAACGCTGTTTGCTTTCCGTGCTGCTATCTGTGCGTTTTTATAAATATCCTTCAAAAATGACTTTTAAAATAACCATCTGGGAGAGGCCCCGCGTACAGAGATCGCACGACTCTGTGTGGACACATTAAGATATTTTGCCTCTGAATGAGAGGGAGTTATTCCAGGCAGGTACACTCAGAACTGGTATAAACTCTGGCTCTGGATTGGAAAATTAGATTCCAATCACATTGAAGAAAACTAACATTACACCACTGGCCGTAATTAACGGAGTCCTGTAGAAGATTTCCAGAGGACAGGAGACCTACTAGGACATTATTAATTCACAGGTCATACATTAACTTAAATAATACTAAAGCTACTATAATAATAAATAATACATAATACTTAAAGGGTGGGTGTCAAGAGGATGGGGCCAGTCTTTTTTCAGTGGTGCCCAGTGACAGGACAAGAGGGAACGGGCACAAACTTGAACATAAGAAGTTCCATCTAAACGTGAGGAGGAACTTCTTCACTTTGAGGGTGGCAGAGCCCTGGAACAGGCTGCCCAGGGAGGTGGTGGAGTCTCCTTCTCTGGAGACATTCAAAACCCACCAGGACACGTTCCTGTGCAACCTGCTCTGGGTGGACCTGCTTTGGCAGGAGGGTTGGACTAGATGATCTCCAGAGGTCCCTTCCAACCCCGTATCATTCTGTGTGACTCTCTAACTCAGTAAAAATGCTGACATTTTCCCTGTATTCCTTACATGACTTTCACTGGTTGGTATCTTTTTCCTTAAAAGACAGTCCAGTTCTACACAGATCAAAATAAACCCGTAGGCTATTTATGGGGTGAATTAATGTCTCACTGATGAAAATAGGTTGCACCAAATGTTAAGTACTTGTTTGCTGCTGGACTGAGGTATCTGAATTGGATTCTGATTGCCCTCTTTTTTTTCTTTTCATGTCACAAACTCTGTAATATTAAAAACCCCACGCTTGGCTACAGCAGGACAGAAACTTAATGTTGTAAAAACTGAGATCATTATTCTTTTTCTTTAAACATGGCATAGAGCTTGGAAAGTTTTCAGGGAAGTATTTTCCTTGATGAATTATGGCTTTCACCTCACCATCAGAACACTTCCTGACCACTAGTGGAGTTTTGCTAAGGTTTGCTTTGGGGATGGAGAACCGTGGAGTGAATCGCTTTAACTCCAACCCCACCCTCTGTGGTGACGCCGAAGGATGGGTTTGGGGGGAGCCCAGCAAGCGTGGCCACAGGAGGCTGTGACACCACTGAGGTGGCTCTCTGCCTGTCCGACAGCAGAAATCATATGGTTTTTGTTTCCAAGCCTTCAGTATTATATATATGTATATATACGTACTATACTTATTTATAATATACATGTATTTTTATATACATGATCTGCTCTCAGGGGTTTGAAAACTTTGCTCCCAACACAATTTTGGAAAATCTGTGGTGTGAAGGAGGATGTATTTAGTAAACTGTTTGCAACAGGCTTTGTGACAGCTGCTCTTTTAACTTAAATCAACCTATTGGGTGAAATTTGACCCAGACTTGTTTCTTAAATATATGTTTTTTTTCAAAGGTAAAGTTTGACTGCGAAGTAGCCGTTCTTTTCAAGAGATGACTGATCTACAGGGGGGAGATCTGAAGAGACAACTCCTAGGTTGGACAGTCAGTGAAAGCATAAGGCACCGTAATTACTGTAAATTTAAGATGTAGCTTCTTTTGCAGTTTGTGAGCTGAAATCGCCTTCAATGAGTGACTTTCTGTGGGGCCTAGAAAATTCGGGCTGGCTGAAGCACATCAAAGCCATTATGGATGCCGGCATCTTTATTGCAAAGGTAAAGTGTGCAAAATGAGAACAAACCTTGGATAACCAGGTACAGACTGTGAGGACCAAATTCCCTGCTTTTGGGGTAACTTCTGTTACCTTCGGTGATGTTGTATCTGGAAAAAACCCGTATCTGAGGAGAGATGATTCTCAGGTGCTGTCGTGTGGACATTTTGCTAACATGGTAAAAAAAAAAAAAGTTTGTGTTCCTTTTACTAAAGAATTCAAATGTACAAAAACCTCTACTACCCTGTATTTTGTTATGCCAGGTTTGTGAAGGTCCTTACTTTACTCCCCAGCGCTGATTGTGTCTTTCCCTGGTTCCTTTTTTCTCCTCCACTGGTTTCTGGACGTGTTCTTTGGTGAAGGTTTCTGTTTGAGGGCTACTTCACATGGTAGCTGTAATACAGGACCATTAGCCACTGTGTTATCCCCTCTGAGCTATTTAGCAACCAACCAAATCACCTTCTAAACCAACTCCTGCGCATGGCCATGGCCAAACTCTCCAGCAGTTTCTGCTCTTACTTGAGAACCGATTCAGGAAACAGTTGTGGGCTTTGGTAGGAAACTATTTCTCCTAATCCCACCCAAAGTAGTGCAGATGTTTGTCATCTCCCAACCCGAGTTTTGATATTTTTTTTTTATTACCCCCTTCCGTGTGCTCTGTCTTTTAAAGTTTCAATTCTTATTTTCAAGATTACTATTACGATTTCTTATAGGCCATTTTCTTCCCATGACCATAGGGCTGTCTGGGTAGAGCCTCCTGAGTTTCCCTCCTCAGCAGCTGCTCCTTTCTCTGCCTTTGCCCCTCCCCGCTCGGGGGGCAGCTGGAGCCCCTCACCGCTGCCCCAGAAGTGCACACGTTATTATTTCTCCCAGCCCTTGTAGGAATCAGGGCATTTTACATCACCTCTTGCCAACTTTTCCCCAGTGACTAGTCTTAAAATACTGTCCCAAAATTTTTTCTCCTTTGTCCGTGTGCTCGCTCCCCTCCTGCCTCCCCACACAGGCATTTTGACCCGTTCTAATTCGTGCGGTTCCCAGTTGGGTTGTTGGTCTCCTGCCCACAGGGGTTCTATTTTGGTAGAATTTACTTGTCTCTTGAGATAAACATAGATAATTTATTATTATTCCTCGTTCCCTATTAAGCCCAAACTTAACTTAAATGTTTATTTTTCTAAGCAGTATCTTTCCTAACCTATTTTATTTCTCTACTTTCTAAATTTAGTTCATTTTAGAAATGGCAAAGGCCAAAACCCTTAGAATTAAAAAAAAAAAAAACACCCTCAAGGTCCCGAAATAACGCAACACCAGACTTTGGAGAATAGTACCATCTATTCTGTATGTGTTTATATATAAAATGGGATCTTCTCTCCCCAGTTATTTACATTAAAGACCCTGGTTGATATTTTTTAATTGAAATGGACACCATGTTCTCCTGCAGTGCAGCATAAACCGGAGATGCTGCAACCACCATAGAGCATGGGGTGGGACGAGATTTAGAGTTTTCAAATGAGAAGGTTAACACTCAACATCATTCAAGAACTCAAAATTAAAAGAGCAAGGTTTCCCAGTTCCCACATGGATTCTCTCTGTATTGCTCTGTCTCGCTGTGGCTCTCTTACCCTTGCCTTTCTCCCTGCTTGTGACGTTTCTGACTTCTTCTGTGTCCTAGGCTGTGGCTGAGGAAGGTGTGAGTGTGCTTGTTCACTGCTCTGATGGCTGGGATAGGACAGCCCAGGTTTGCTCTGTAGCGAGCCTTCTCTTGGATCCACATTACAGAACTATGAAGGGATTCATGGTAAGCAGGTTCCCTTTCACAGAGTTAAATTAAGTATTACTGGCATCATTTAGTATGAATATCTTTGGTCTCAGTGGAAAATAAGCTTTCCTTATAGATTTCCTTCCCCCCCGCCCCTTTCTGTCCCTTTCCCGAGCAAATCAGCTCTGGCAGAGCATCTAGGAATGCTTATCAAGTTACTGGCCACAGGTGAAAAAGATGTGTGAGAGGTTTTTAGGTTGTATTTTAGAAAATGATGAATCAAGGTAATTGAAGCTGTGCTGAAATACCAGCATCCCATCTGCATCCATGAGGAATGCTGCTTTCTCCTCAGCTGGCACCACTGCCCAGTCAGTCAAGGTAATTGAAGCTGTGCTGAAATACCAGCTGAAATACCTCAGCTGGCACCACTGCCCAGTCATTATTTCCTGCTTATTCTAAAAATGAGCTGGGATTCTAATACTGCTCGCTTACATCACTCTTGCTTATCACTTTTCTGCTTATTCTAAGAATTAACTGGGATTCAATTCTGCTTGTTTACACCACTCTTCTGCCTGCTGCAGCGTGTGTCAGCTCTGCTCCCCAGCACTGAACACAATATTCTCATTCTAGGTGTTAATTGAAAAAGACTGGGTTTCCTTTGGGCACAAGTTTAACCACAGGTAAGGCGCTGCTAAGGTTTTTCTATATATATTTTTATGTAGTTGGTATTTCAATTATCAAATCAAGCCCTTTGGACTCCAGCAGATCTTTCAGTAGGGTCCAGGCTCCCCACCCGAGTCCCTGCTCAGCACATTCTGGGTCTTCCAGGGCAGTGCTTCATCTTAGGCGTGTCTGCCAGTTAAAGAGTATATTATGTAAAATATGCTCTTCCTTTTACCCTCTAATGAAAACAGTAGGATTTGTTCCGAAACGTCAGGTAAAGTGGAGCAGGAAGTCATATATTTGGACAAGTTATTTTGTATATCCATTATGTAACAAAAATATTTGAAGACTTTATATATTTAAATGTGGATAAATATCTGCATTCTCTTTCTTTCTTTCTTGAATTTCCATTTAGTTTCTGTAAAAATAACAAATGCAATTTTTATATTGGGGTTTAGTCACATTACAGTGCTTGATTTGAATATAAATGTGTCCCAATTTCAAAAAATACAATAAAACTTTCAAAAAAAATCTGTGCAGCTCCACAGCACCTGTGAAATTCCAGCAGGAAGTACTACATTTGATGGGATACCATCAGATGTCCATTACCATCAGTGGTGAAAGACATTATGAAATGTAATCCCCACTGGTAGCTCTGCTCTCCAGTACAATGCTGCTGTATTTTCTTTGATGCTTAATAATAGTAGAATTAGAAGTTTCAATTCTAGATGTTTATGGAATTCCACTCTGTGTATATATGTACATATATATGTATTTACCCACAGTTGACAAGCAGAATAATTGCGTGAAAATGATTCTTCCTATTACATAGACTTGTATTTTTTACTTCTATATGTTTTAGATTTTCAGGCCCCTTTTCTTCATTGCAAGCGGTTCCAAGAGACACTTTTATAGACAGAAAATTTGACCTTCACTTGACAGTTACGTTTTCCACTTTCTAAAAAGTTTCACCAAGCGAGGGCTGCTTTAAACTGTTTTCTGCCAAGGGTATTTCTTTCCTCTCCTGCTCAGTTTTCTGGTTTGGGCAGTGGTCTGCTGTTCAGTGACTGTTGAAGATACGTTTTTGTCATTAGGTTGTTGCGGTCATTCTTGTGATGACTTATGTTACTGTGAGATAACTTTATAATACTGGTGTTAAAAGGTGGCTCTGCAGCTGTTGGTGGCTGTAAGGCAACGAGACACTCATAGAAGTTGTTTCTTTCCATTTGATAAATCCTGCTTTTATTCTACTCTGTGAATCTTGCACCATTTTTGTAATTTAAAAAATAAACTAGTAGTTGAGATTTTACAAAATGAATGCCTGTGATGTAACTTGCATGCATAAAGCGAGGGGTTTGTTTTCATTAGCGTTAATTAAGTTTTCCTAGAGGATTTGAGGATGCAATTGGATGTATCTCGCCTTGTTTCAGGTACGGCAATTTAGACGGAGACCCGAAGGAGATCTCCCCTGTTATTGACCAGTTCATCGAGTGTGTCTGGCAACTGATGGAGCAGTTCCCTTGTGCCTTCGAGTTCAACGAGCGGTTCCTCATCCACATCCAGCACCACGTCTACTCCTGCCAGTTTGGGAACTTCCTGTGCAACAGCCAGAAGGAGAGGCGGGAGCTGAAGTACGGATGGCCCTTCTTTGGGAGGGCGTTTCTATACGTAAGAGGGACCCACACCCAGTTCATCCACATCCAGCACCACGTCTACTCCTGCCAGTTTGGGAACTTCCTGTGCAACAGCCAGAAGGAGAGGCGGGAGCTGAAGTACGGATGGCCCTTCTTTGGGAGGGCGTTTCTATACGTAAGAGGGACCCACACCGTAAGAGGGACCCACACCCAGCGTGGGGGGTGTCTCTGGGTGGGGGATGAGGAGTCAGAGGCTGCCTGGCTACGCCTGTGTGTGCTTTCCTAAGACTTCCTGGCTCTCCTGGTCTGGCAGCACCACAGATTAATACCAAAAAAGCAGCTGATCCTCTGCGCTGTGGCTGTGCCAGGAGGGTAATCCTGGGTGTGCGTGACAGGGATCAGGGGCAGCAGAGAAGAGCATTAGCCCTTCAGCTGCCCGGCCCCTCCTCTGCTGCAGCCTCAGCAGCAAGTAGGGCTCTGCTGCCAGCTGAGCTTCACTCTGGCTAAATTCTCCACTGAAGAGTCACTGCTCCTCTGTGTTTCAGGCTGTCTTTGGATCTCACGTCAGGATGGTTTGCTCTTGTTTTCTTGGCTACTTGCTCAAGAACAGCCTTTTTATCTGGTAGCCTGAGTCAGCAAATCATCCTTCTGCTGCCTGGCCCCACAGCAATCAGGGAGTGATCTCCCAAACAGAGACAACCTGGCAGTGCTGGTGTTGGCATCTGCTTCCTGGGGCCCTACATCATCATGGCATCATCATGGCATCGTCATGGTCTTAACAGAGACAACCTGGCAGTGCTGGTGTTGGCATCTGCTTCCTGGGGCCCTGGCATCATCATGGTCATGGCATCGTCATGATACCGACTGCTTTTCTCATGCACCCAGAGCTGCCAGCAGTAGGAAGGAGAGGAAGGTGGGAGTTACTGCCTCCTCCTGCCTCTTGGTCCCTTTCACCGCTCGAATGCAGAGCAGCCTCAGGGCCACAGATAGTTTGAAACCAAAATCTTCACAGGTTACCATATCCCCAGACCTGACTGCGTGAGGAGTAGGTGCAGGAGTGCCCCTCTCCATCTCCCAAAGGAACCCACCTCTGCACCTTCTCTCTCCAGCTGCTCTGCCTCTATGGCAAATGGACTGGATTTGCCTTTAGTGACCAAAGGACTATGGGTTTCTGTTTTTCTGTATTTCTAACTTACATCTAATTCTGCCATGGAAATATAGAGCTGATTGTAAACGAGTAGGACAGAGCACTAGAATGTCACACCTAAGCTGCAGCTACAGCTGAATTGTAGTAGAGACTTTAACATGTTTTTTATTTCACATATCTTTTTCAGAATCAAAGAACGAACGTATTCCCTGTGGGCTCACCTGTGGAAAAACCGTGCCGATTACCTGAACCCTCTGTACAGACCAGACCATGGCCAGACCCAGGGGACCCTGCGCCCACAGATGGCTCCTTGCAACTTCTTGTACAAGTAGGTAGCACCACGTGCCACTGGGAACTGCAGGTGTGTCAGCAGAGAAGAGAGTGCCCTTGTGTTTAAATTAAGTATGTGAGTACTCTCTTACAGAGAGAAAACTCAGTCTCAGGGGCCATGTGTTTGTTCCCTGTGTGCTCACAGGCAGCCACCCCCTCTGCACCATCCCACAGCGGGGTATTAGTCTGAAAAGGAGCTTAAGATTAAAGCCATATTGATAGTGGGGTGTCCTAATTTCATGGTTACTCGCTTCTTCCACTGGGAAGAGTCTCCTTCGGTTCTGTTCTCGTCTGCGGTTTCTAAATCTAAAGTTCCTTCAATTTCTTCAATTCCGAGATTTTGTGATGTTTATACGGATCGGTTGGTGTCAAAAATAAAAAGGGACATTTCAATAAATCCTATGGTTTCATTGCTAAAGCAAGTGTTTAGTAAAACAAAAAGCAGACTCTCCCCATGTTCTTGTTATGCCTCGAAGTATACACTATATATATATATCTATATATACTGTGTATATATAAGTTTTACTTGATATTTAAGTTTTTTTTTCAAAATGTAACAAAACCTTATAATTTAAAAAATATTACTATCGACATTCTGACTTGAGTAATTAATGGTACCATTAATCTTACAAGCTTAAGAAGAACTTGAATAGAAATTAATGAAAACTGTGATTTAAGTAAAACTGATCACTTAGTTTTCCAGCTGCAAGTAAAATAACCTGTTAAAAAGTCAATAAATATCCTAAATGACAGAAATTGAATTATTTCACATCTACTAGTCCAGGTCACATCCACTTTAAAAAAAAAAATGAAAAATAGTAGTTAATTGTACTTTTGCAGATAGTGGGATTTATAAAAGAAGTACTGATACTGTGGATCCTCCACGGAACGAGTAATCCTGTCGATTTTAATGGAGTTGCTTGGATACATAAAGATTTCAAGCATGATAAATTTAAGGGGGAATGTGAAATGAACAGCAAATGAACCATAAATTTTACCAAATATTCAATGAACTTACCTGTATTCACTCTAAAGGTGATTAATCCACGGATGGATCACTTAGGACAACATAGGTCTCAAAAAAGATATTTTAAAAAAGTGTGTATTGAAGTCTTCTGAGGCCACCTTGCCAAATGGGAGAACTGCTGACCTTCCTGTCCATTCCAGGTTCTGGAGCGGGATGTACAACCGCTTTGAGAAGGGGCTGCACCCGCGACAGTCGGTCACCGATTATCTGATGGCAGTGAAGGAAGAAACTCAGCAGCTGGAAGAGGAGCTGGAGGTCTTAAGAGAGGTAATAAACCCTTGATGTCGATGTCCCAGTTTTAGAAGGTGGTAGTTGGGTTGGGCTCTGAACTGAGTTTATTATTTCTTACTGAAGGGGGCCTAGAGGAGGGGGACTATTTACAAGGGAGTGTAGTGATAGGTCGAGGGGTAATGGCTTCAAACTGAAAGAAAGGACATCTAAATTAGGTATTGGGAAGAAATTCTTTCCTGTGAGGGTGGTGAGGCACTGGAACAGGTTGCCCAGAGAAGCTGTGGCTGCCCCATCCCTGGAGGGGTTCAAGGCCAGGCTGGATGGGGCTTGGAGCAACCTGGTCTGGTGGGAGGTGTCCCTGCCTGTGGCAGGGAGGTGGAACTGGATGGTCTTTAAGGTCCCTTCCAACCCAAACCATTCTGTGGTTCTTGGACTTCTTTTTTTTAAAGGCAAAGACACGTAAGAGAATTCTTGGCCCCTAATGTTTCCATGTAATATATACTATTTCTGTTATTTCAGAGACTGGCAAACCTTCAGAAATCCCAGCTAAACGACTATCAAGTCCAGAGTAAACAACCAGACCGAAGCAAACAGTTTGGGCTTTCTACTGCCGACAACATTGTCGCTAACACTCCCCAGGAGTACAGCACCGACCTCAAGTCCTTCCCATCCCGCAGCCCCTCGCAAGGGGACGAGGAAGACTCAGCCCTCATTCTGACACAGGACAACCTGAAAAGCTCTGACCCCGACCTCTCGGCCGCCAGCGACCAGGAGTCTGGGGTGGAGGACCTGAGCTGCAGGTCCCCCAGCGGGGGCGGCTGCGTGCCCAGCGAGGACAGCGGCAAGGACTCCGACGAGGCCGTGTTTCTGGCCCTCTGAAACCCCTCCCCACAGCAAGGATCGGGACAAAGAGGAGTCTCTGAGGGTCTGGAATGACATCCTTCCACGGGATGGAGACCCAGAGTGCTCTGTGGCCTAGAGAAATAATCCAAAGAAAGGGAACCGTGCAATTGTGTCCGTAGGGAGCGAAGCAGAACAAGCCATTAGTAGTTTTAAGACATAATGCTAAAGAAAGGTAATTATCTGCTGTTATATTTAGTTAAGCCAATGTTGTATTTGTTTTGACTTTATCGATGCTGTACATAATTATTCCTAACTTTGTACATTTCCATAATTATTTATTGTACAAAGTAATAGTTTTTCTCCAAAGACATGAAATTCCAAAGTACTCTCTTACACCACGGGACGAGGCTGAAGATTCATGAGCGTTGGCCTTACCGGGGAAGCAGGCAAAGCTTATTTTTGTAGAGCTCCTTTGCCTTCAGACAGATTGGGTATGTTCTGCTTTTTTTTGTGTGTGCGTGGTTTTTTTTTGGTTGGTTTGTTCGTTTTTGTTTTGTTTTGTTTTTCCAGGGGAGATGCTAAATTTTGAATTCCAACAATTATCTGCCATCTCCTCCTACTAGAATCCTTTAGGGCAAATGAAAACTAACAGAAGGGACACGCTTGTTTGGGGGACGAAGGAAGCTTTGATCCTGCAAAAAAATACCCTTTAATAAGGGCTGAGGACCCCCCCGCGGGTGAGGGCAGCCCCTTTTCATCTCTTACCCTCATCCCAAACCACCCACGTAAGGGACAAACATACAATTTTAAAGGTAATAAAGCCCCCAATTCCCCACAGCCTATTTTGATTCCTATTTGAAGATGTTTTATCTGCCCGGGAGTTTTATCTGCAGTAGGGAGAATCAGGAATCCAAAATTACTTGTAAAAAATCCCTTATGAAAGCATTGCTCCAAAATTCAGAATTAAAAGAAGGTTATGCCCATAAATGAGCTGTTATAAAGCACGATTCTTCCAAATTTTATTGTTGAAAATAGACACAAAATTTCCTTTTTAGTATTTGCCAACCTGAAGGGAGCACGGCAAGGCTCATTTAAGAATAAGACTGATTCACCTCAACAGGAGCTTAATCTTGTTGAATTTAAGAATTTTCATAGTTTTTAAGAGCAGGAGTAATACCTTTCATACTCCTGGGTATGGAAGGAAACCACTGAAAAATGTTTAAAGTTTGGGATGTTTTGAAACTCGCTACAAATGCTTCCATATCAGGGTATAATTCTTTCAAGGTTTTTCTTGTTTGGGTTTTTTGTTTTGGTGTTTGTTTTTGTTTTTTTTTTTAATTAAAGCAGGCAGTTAAATATCTAATTGATAGGGCTGTCTTACCTGCTTGGAGAGGAGGTGGTCCTGAGCTCCGGGCAGGCAAAGCGGCAGTAACGTAAGTTTCCTTTGATTGCGTTTCCTACTGCTCCTTCAAACACAGACTTAGAGGCAGAATCAAATTATAGAAATAATATACCTCAATTTAGAAGCTTTAGATTTGATTGTTCAGCCTCAATTTAGAAGCTTTAGATTTGATTGTTAGAAGCTTTAGATTTGTTTGATTCCGCTTCTACGGAACGGCTTCTCGTGCTGTTCTACGAACTTATGGTATCAAAAACGAGTAGGTAAACTTCAGTGTTATTCATATCCTCTTAAAGGAACCGCTGTCTTTGAACAAATAATTCACTTCCTAACAGCAAGATTTATCTCAATGTTCCAGTGGAAAGGCCAGATCCTCAATTTGATAAATCACTGCAGCTCAACTGAAATAAATACAGCTATAATTTATACTCCGTTGAGAATCTAGCCTTCTGCTTTTTAATCTTTATGAATTTTTAATAAATGAAAGCCCTGATTTTAATTGCACTTTTAAAAATGTTTCATATTTTGAACATAGCCTGTAAAACTTGTGGTATTAAAGGACATTTTGAATGGGTTTTCTCGAACTAAAGAAAGAGGCTGCAAAGTCAGCAGCGAAAACAAACCACACACAAACATTCTGCTTAAAAATGAGTTTGCAAACAGGCAATACTATTGTGCAGCTTTAAAATGTAAAATTGCTACGACGGGCTTGTGTCCTGTTTGATGTGTCTAGAAATAAAGGCGGCACCGCGATATATGCACAATCCAAAGCGCTGGCTTCACCTCACTTGTGCAACTCTGTGTAATTAGCTTTACAGCGAAAATATTAACATATTAACGTTTTATATTAAGCCTTTACTTAGCCACTCGCTGCAATGTGTCCCTCAGTCCCTGGAATTCTGCTTTTCCTTGTAATGGCCGTAGCTGTGGGGGGACAGCCCCCCCAAAACACCCTCAGATAAACACCGCGGACACTGAGCGTTACGTTATTTCCCCCCCGTGAATGACACACGGCTCTGCCTTCCCTGTTTCTGTCAGACACCTCCTCGTTAACTCCAGAGTCACTTTGTCACCGAGATCAAGGGATTTTATCTTCCCTGCTTGGATCCAGCAGTTTAAACTCTGGAGGAACCTACAACTGATAACCAGGGAAATGGAGGCTCCTGTCAATTGAGTTAATTCTATGGGAGCGCATTACACCCCTGTATTAATATTTTTTTTTTTAGGAAATGAGGAACAAAAGGACTGAGAAAACCACACTATCAACTACGTTAACTTCTCGTAGCCTTGTGGGGATCTCTCCCCTCTGCTGCAAACCCTTGCAAATTTGGCATGAGCCCACCACAAGCTGAAATAGGACACACACGAACGGAACTGAACTGCTGGAAAAAAAGTGTTACAAGACCATTATAGATTTCTGTGGTGGAATTTCAGCCTCACTGGGTTCAGGCTGTTCTTTAGGATGCAAACGTGCACCTAAAGGACAGCTGAAGTTTTCTCCACAGAAGATCACCATCTAAAGACCAGAAAGCAACAGGTATTCACTCGCTGCTTTTATCAATAGCTCTGTGCAAGACAGAGACAAAGGTGGTAAAACTGGTAACGGGCTCTGAGAAGCTGAGAAAGAAGAAGTTGGAGGCCACAACTCAGACGGAAGGATATAATTAAAAGGAAAGAAAAAGACCAGAAAAAAGGGGAAGGAAAAAAGGGAAGAAAGCTCTTTGTAAAATCAGCAATAGGGTGGGGAACCACATGATTTGTAGACGGGCAAGGCAGGGCACCAGTTTCCACAGCACGAGAGATGGCTGATGACATGAACTAGTAACAATCACAACCCAGCGACAACAAGGAGGCAGCCTTTGCCACAAAGATAAGCGTTGTGTCACTGCTGACCTGCTCACTCAATCACAGAATCTTCACGGTTGGAAGGGACCTTTTGAGATCATCGAGTCCAACCACAAAAAAAAACAAACAATCAAAACCAAAAACCCAAACCAAACCAAAAAAAACCACACCACAAACAGACACAAACCAACAATCTCGGGCACTAGAGCATGCCTTGAAGAGCCACATCTACAGATTTCTTAAATATTTCCAGGGATGGTGACTCCACCACCTCCCTGGGCAGGCTGCTCCAGTGCCTGACCACTCCTCAGTGAAGTAATCCTTCATAATATCCAATCTAATCCTCCCCTGCCCCAACTTCAGACCATTTCCTCTGCTCCTGGCATTACTCACTCGATGCAGCAAACCCCGAAATTAGAGGCCAGAAATGCTGCCCAAGAGTGGGGCCAGGAGAAAAGGTAAAATAAGCGTTCAACTTTCTTCAGATTTCTTAACTCGCCAGTAAAGCACCTGGAGCCAGCAAACCAAATCATGCTGAGTCTTAAAATAAAATTTAGTGGTCTTTTGATATAAATCATGCTGGAAAGAAGCTAACGAAACCTTGCAGGTCCACCAGAGTCACTGTGAGTGAATTCAGGCAAGGACTCGTTTTTAAGTCTGCTGGCTGCCAAGGTTATTCAGACAAATTTACTCCGTTTCCAAAAACTAAAGAACACAGTTCTTTAGTTAAGGTATTTATGTATTATATATAAATATAGTATATAAAATTATACATAATTATTATATATCCACCTTAACATACAAATATATAACAACATTTATGTTAAGGTATTCCCTTCTCATTGATATACAAGCCTTCTCTGTAGCTCATTATTACATATAAATTCGATCTCTACAGGGGTCTGACCAAAACAAAGCATTTACAAAAGCAGAGATTCAATATGGGTTTTCAAAGCCTGTTTTAGCAAAAGTGGCTCCAAGAATTACTGCTTTTGAAAGGGTTAAATGGGAAAAGCTCAAATCACTACACACAAAGATGAAGTCTGTCCTCGAGTAGCTTCCTGCATGCCTTTCCGACACAACTCTGTATCCACCCAAGAAATCCTGCAACACCCAATTCTATCCTTAAGTTAGACAATTACAAGATACATTCACAACCCGAAAGCCTTTATTTGTGGAAGTTTAACACATCACAGTATTGACTGCTTGGAACAGCGTATGCAATAAGGCTGTGATAACTGACTGCTGTGCTGCCTAGCTTGCTGTGTTAACTAACTTACACTTTCTTTAATTAAGTTTTACCCGAAGGTCTCTCAAATCTCTCTGCTTTAGAAAGATGTTTCCCAGTCTTTGAAGGAAGCAGTAAGAACTCAGACAGAAACAAGGCTTAAAAGATTTCCAACTTCCACCTCTGGCCCAGGTCTGAAGTGGCAAAGCTGCAGGGGCCCGTACAGAGCGAACAACAGAACCAGAGCAGATCACCAGGCACTGCTCAGAAGGGGCTTCCCTACGGTCTCTCTGGTGGTGGTGGTGAGCACAGCTGGATGGACCTGATAACCCACCTTTCAGAAAGGTTAGCCAGATACCCAGAAAAAGATCCAAAACAACTCGTACACTCAGCGCAAAACTAGATGGAAACCACTCAGAGACCCAAGGCCAGAAGAGCTTGGAAACCTACATGATCTCATTTTAATTAGGGCCTTATTTAGCAGAAGTGCTATGTCAATATACAAGCAGTGTTATGTGCAGTCAGTGGAAATGTATTTTGGAAGAACATACTCTAAAATGATTGCTAAGCCATGGCACTTACAACCTATTTATTTTTCAGGCACCTGAGTATCTTCTTTGATTTGGACCTTAGTTCTGTTTTCTTGGGACATCTAATCTCAGGATTTGGACCAGCTTTACAAAGACAAACCCCGCCAAATACCAGTGATTAGTTTACTCACCCTGAAAGGCAGCAGCTTAAGAGAGACAACCACATACTGTAAAGTATGGCAGGGCTGGGACTAAAGCCCCATTTGAAGAATCGCTGGCCTCCCGAACAGACATTTTGCACATACATGATTTTCATGGCTCCAAAATTACTCACTTTTCTCCAATTTGCGTTTTTCTAGATGAGCATCGAGTTTAGGACTGACTGAAGATGACTGACACAGAAACAAACTGGCTTGGACTGACGTGCTTGAGACTGGGATCTGTGAGAGGCAGGGTCTTGGCTAAGAGCTTTATCTCCAGGCGGCTTCCTGACGAGAGAGAGAGCAGGATTCCCCATACATTAATTAATCAGTGCTTTATCTTATTTATCTCTCAGAACCATACAATTCCTCCTGTTCTTGGGAAACTCGACTGTCTCCATGAAAACCTAATGCACTGACAAGGTTAACAAAAAGAATGTATCTTTTTGCAACAGGGAGAACACATCTGTGTGTATTAAGGGGCTGTATTTTTCTCCTATAGAGAAATTTTTCTCCTATAGAACACTGCACTTGGTCCTATCCCTTCTCACCATATACCCCCATCCTAAAAAAAGTCAGCTCACCTGAGGCAAGATTCAGTGATTATAGGGCAGAATTAAGCCTCGCTTCGAAATTCTGTTATTGGCCTTAACACACCACACTACACAACTCCAGCCAAATTACCTTGTTCCTTAAAATTAGGAAAAAATAACCGCTACTTCACAAAGAACTTCAGAAGTCATTTTTGGAAAGTGCTTTTGAGTTCCTCACAAGATGAACATACTCATGTTGCAAAAAGCAGAAACTGGGAGGTGACCTGATTATTTTTAAGTAAAAACAAATATGAAAATGAAATTGTGAGATGGAAATTGTGTTTAATTACAGTGGTAGGTCCCAAGCCACCCCTGAAATCAAGTGCATCGGTGCTACTGAGCAACATACCCAATCTACGCAGAGATCATTTATTCTATTTCCATTCCAATAGAATTTGTTCCAACACATCCTTTGCTTAATCCAAATCTACTTATCCAAAACACAATACAGGCCATACCTAGTTTTGAATTATTACTTAAAAGTAAAAAAACTTGTTCTTAAAACATTTTGGCTTCCAGAAAAGACAGCCTGTGAATCCACTGACAATCCCCGATTATGAAATTCTTCAGTTTCCAAAGTCCTGTCACCACTCATCTCAAACTATTCCACAGATCAAGCCAAATCTATGTTTGTAAGTTCAAAATACAAAAGATATGAATTATGCTCTTATAAAAATGTAAAAAGCTAGTTAAATTACATGTTTAGATATTTAATCTCTGAAGAATGGAGTATAGCAGCAGGAACTTAAATATAATAAGAACTATCAACAATAAATACAAGAAATTAGTGCAAAGATTGCAATAGAAGGATTCTTGAGTACAATGAGAATATAAAGAGACATTCTAATTTGTACAAAAACCACCCCAGCTCTGTATACAATCTCTTCTATAAATACCGCCGTATAAGATGAAATGCTTATTTGCAAATAATAATTATTAAAAAGTGTGCTTTATTGGGCTTTTCACTCGTTCTCTTGGCAGGTGTAGTTTGCAGGAAGTCTGTAAAGACAAATTTCCATAATTAGATATTTTGACTCCCCCAGAGGTTATGTTTTAAACACATCTAACAACAGGTGCAGCACATACTCGATTTCCACAGGAAGCATTATCGGATCACTAAGCATTGTAACAAATCCATTTGCAATTAGTAATTGGTAAGTCTGTGACAATGAGGTAAATTTAAAAAATAAAATAAAATAGCATAAAATTTTTAATAAATATATTTTAATATTAAATATGAAACCAGCAGTTTACCTATAGTGGAGCATGAAATTGGCTGTGCATTGCTATTGCCTGTTGAAGCTTTTCCTCTTTGGCTCGTCTACAGTGGCAGAGCTACAGAGCAAGACACAGGAGGGTGAATTCTAAAAGGAATTTTTTATAACACACAGCACAGTTTCTATTTAACAATTTAGCTACATCGCAGGCTCTTTAAAAAAGGAAAGCCCTGGGAACCACCTTGCTTCTAAGCTTCAGGCTGAAGAACAGTTGTCTATATTGGTTACACTATTCCATCTACAACTGCTTATAAGAGAAGAGAATTGTCTCCTATGTTATGGAATTAATTTATGAGGCATCTTTAAGGAAAGGTCCACTACCCAGTAAGTTGCTCTTGTCACAGCGTGAGCAAGAACGGTGGGTTTTGAACCTCAGTTACTTATTTGGTGATAGCCATCAACAGAATAATAAATTTAAGAAGTTTAATTAATTAAGCACTAATGTTGCTTAAAATAACACGTCATTCCACATCAGTTTACCAAATTTGAAGTTGCACATGCAAGTTCCCTACAGCTATACAGGATATAGAAAAAAGCAGCACAAAAACATCTGCAACAACACAAGACCAGAGTCTAATGCAGGAGACCTTTGCACTCCCACCTTAAAAATATGTGCCTTCAGAACGCAGATTATATGCTAAATTATATTCTAAATCCACTGAAGCAACATACTGATATATTTTTCTTTTATTGGAACTTACTGAAGCACTGTTCTGTGTCACAGGACTGCTCAAACTCTAAGCCTGAAATTTATTCACTATGTGTGAATGTGTATCTCTAAGATTAGAATGGTTTGTGAATTACATACCGTTCTCTTTTCCATAAAACTACTAAGAAAGTCATCGATTTCTGTTTTGCCTTCCAAGAAGTCTTCTGCAATAGTGTCAGATTCCTCTTCAGCTTCATGAGCAGCTACTTTAAGTCTGGCTTGCAGAGCACTTGGACTGCAACTCTAAGAAAATAAAAACTCCTATGTAATATTAAACTGTTCCATCAAACCCCTACATTTCCAAGAAGAAAGATAAATGACTATATAAATATGGAACACATGAACAGAACATTATTACTATTACATAAAAGCCTAAGTGACCAGATGCAGCTTCATTGCCAAGAAACAGTGTAACTTGTTAAACTAAGGATTCAACGTGTGAAAAGAGTTTAGGTCTTGATTCACAGTCACTCTCACAAACGTATAAAGCTTTTCAGCTTTCACCCTACGCTGTAGAAAACATCCAACTTGGAAATGTGACAGGTTCTCGAGCGCATGGCTTCTGAGTAGAAGCATCTTCAATAATTAGGGTCTACTTTTGATACTCGGTGGTGAGCCTCACAAGCATAAAAAGGTAAAAAAGCCAATACTGTTCAGCTTCTAAATACCCTTGAAATAACTGTGGAGACGAAGACATGAAAAGAAAAAGCACCTCCCCAAGAAGCAGATGGGCTGCTAAACCAAGCCAATATCCTCATTCTTCTGTTCTTATAAACATCAAACATTACTTCTGCTTATTGCACATAATTTCATTATTTTTCCTCTAATAGGTTTGGGCAGTTAATCAGAACGTGGTTCACATCTTCAGTAGGAGACTGTACAGAACCAGAACTGTGAAAATCAAGATCTTTATAGATGTTGGATGCTTGGACTATCCTTCATCTACTCCATGAAACCAGCAGTGCAATCATAACCCTGTTTTGCTTTCAAACTGGTACTTCATTCCATTTTATTTCATACTTGATGTGAATCTATTTCATACAAAATTAGAGTTTAACCAGAAGAATATTCTTTATGGGTAAAGATACAAATAAAAACTTTGGTTATATTGAAGTATTCTTAAAGGATAATACAGAGATCATACCTCACTAAGTTCATGCTGTCTTTGCATCTTTTTTTCAAAGGCTGCTTTCAGCTGTGTGAGCTGCTCATGCTGGAAGAAAGAAGAAAAAGAACGTTTTCCCCCTGATAAAACACAGGATATTACAATTAATATTTATGAAAAAGATTTTATTGTTCACTTACTTTATCCAACACCGTCTGTCTTTTTGCCTCAAGACTGGGCTCCAGCAGCAAGTTTTTTTCTGTAAAATGAAGTCACCATTACTACTTTTTTTTAAAGGGTCCCGTTTGCAGAACACAGCCAGAGGTGCTAACGTGGGGACATCTTACTTGCCAGCTCCTCGATGCTTTTGACTAACTCGTCCCTGTCAGTAATGACTTGCTTCAGCTGTGGCAGAGTCACAAACTGCTCCAGCAGCACCTCCTCCTGCTCGTTCATGTCCGTCAGCTGCGATATACTGCATTCAAACAGAGAGCCAGCAGATATAGAGCTAACAGCAAATATTACACGTAGGGTTAATTATTTCTGCCAAAAGTCAAAAGTTTAAAGCATTTATCAGGACTTTACAGACACACAACACTTGACCACAACTTATTTTCCACCTTTCTCCTGGACTGTGGGCTCTACTATCTGCAGCAGAGAGCTTGGAAAGCAGTGTGTTGAAAAGTATCTCTCATTTCAAGCCTTTAATGCTTGAATGCTTAAATGCTTCCTAAAAGGAGTTTTTTAATGCAGGAGAAAAGCTCATGGATCATGATAAAGACAGAGAGATGGCTTACCAATAACCATTACAGGCAAAATACACTCAACTTGGAAAAAGTCTAATTTATTGCCAACTATAGTAAGAGTTGGATGGTAAGAAAGACAAACAGAATCGAAAACACCTCGCTCCCTTCTTCCCCAGGCTCAACCTCCCTCCATCATCCCCAACTCCCCCACCGCCTCTGGCTGCAGCACGGGTCCCTCTCCACTGGCTGCAGCTCCTGGCAGTCCCAGAGGACTGACCTAGGAGCCCATCTCATTACATCCAAGCAAATTGTTGGGAACCATAACTAATTAACTATTTTATTTTTTTTTTAATGTTGTGATAAGATATGTTTTTGCTGAAAATATTTACGTAATACATGTGTAAAGTATTCAGATGTGGAATTGATTTGCACGGGCACATTTACAGCCTGGATGTACCCAACCCACCCTCCTGCACACTCTGAGCTGCCCACACAGTAGCCCAATGTTTACCCTGCACTACAGCCCTTTCAAATTTCAGAAAACATAATTTGTGGACCAGTGTCAGGTCCATTTCCCTGTCCCCCTTCTTCCTTCAGAAGTTATCCTTACTGTGTTACTCAAAATTAAGTCCCTGGTAAAGCCCCAGAAGACCCCAGAACACTGATAAGTTAGGAAAAGTAAAAATAAATACTCTTTTTCCTGGTGTTGAATCCTAATGCAGGATTTCTCAGCAGGATTGCTCCTGCTGAGAAAACTCTAAACAAGCAGTACAAGGCTGGCTAATCTTTCTGACTCTACCAATTTTGGTAAGTGGCAGCTCTCCTGTTTATAATTTCTACAAAAACCATTTGGTGTTGGATACAGACTTTCGACAAAAACCCGATACAGACCAGCAGTAATTGCATTTTAATGACAGAAAGTTTTGCTGCCTTCTGAAAATTTACCTTAGTTCTGAGAGTTCTGGAAACGTGTCAGGAACGTCGGGCATCTTGTAGGTAAATCCATTCTGACCAACCTAAATGGAAGTTTAGAAATTCTTAGTAGATTTTTGAAGAGCAATTTCTTGATTTAACCTGATTAATCTAAAACCAGAGACAAGTATTTGCCAGCAACAAGAAAAGCAGGAAAAGCAGTAAGAAGCAGCATCACTACTCTCTGAACAGAAGATGTCTCAACTCAACCATGGAAACAAAATACTTGGGGATGTTTGGGGTGGCATGTCATAAAAGAGGAGTCAATTTTGGAGGAAAATAATTCTGTCTTGCTATGTCCTCCCTTTGACAACCTGGGATGGCCCAGGAAACAGAGGGGAGGAGTATAACTCAGTGAAGTGAGAACAGAGAAGGAGATTGACATTTTGATCTCTTTCATGTGGTTTTCAAAGCTATAATCCCTTGGGAAAAAAGGTTTTCAGACAAGGGGAAAAAAGTCTATCTTCAGAGAATGTAGAAATTTTAAATTCTACAAAGCCAGAAAAGTGTCTTCCAGGATTAAGAAAACTTTTGTTTCTTAAGACAAGATTTGATGAAAGACTAAACATTCAGATACAAAGTTTTTGGAGGACATTCAGAAAAGTCCTTCCAGAGCACATCAGTGAGAGGGAGTCTGTGAGGACACACATACGAGGTCTGTGAAGAGAAACTCTTTTAAGCATGAAAACAAGAAATAAATACACATAAAGACTTGAGATTGCACATCATTCTCACCTGACAGGTTCTGGGCAGGAAATCCCATAGAGAGACAAGGATCTCATTTTCTACAGCTGGAGAAACACTCCCAGCTGCACTACAGGGGAGTGCAGCTCCAGAAAATACACATATTCAGAGATATTTAGCGTAACACTAGTTTCACTGAAACTCAGAAAAACAAATTTGTTGCTCTAACTTCCAGTTTCTTCTAAAAAATGCTTTCAAAGCCAGAATGAGAGTTTCCTTTTCCCAGCTCCAACAAAACAAGGAAGGACTGTTCCCCTGAATTTTGTGGCCGTGCCCTCTGTGCCCCCGAGGGCACTCCTACCCCGTGTCTGACAGCAAAACTTCAAAAAAGCAGCAAAACTTCAGCAGCACAGACCTGAAGCACGGCTTCTGCTGTTGGAACAGGCAGGGGCAGGTCAGCAATCAGGCCGTAGGAGGGAGCAGCAGGCTTGTCCGTAGTGTAGCTTGAAGGAACAGACTCGGCGACGGGCACGGCCGCCATCGTTCTGTTTGGCTCTTGAGGTGGGTAGGGAGGGAGGAATGGAAACCCCTGAGGAGGATAAGGAGGCATTCCAGCTGGTTTGTTGAAAAGGCTAAAAGCAAACAGACAAAAAACCTCACAACCACGAGCAACCAACCTCTTAAAGCACATTTATCATTTGAATTGTAATTACTAGACCACATACAAGACGTAAGATTGAATTTCCAGATCACCATCAATTTTGTGGGTTTTGTTCTCAGTTATGTCCAATGTAGTGTCTACTCTATGTCTTATACTGCGACATAATATACAACTCCATTAAACTAAATCCTTGGAAAGCACATACACTCTTAATTTCACACTCTCCCACTCTTAAGAAAACTACTTCTCAAAAATGTATGAGACTGTAAATTAAAATTGTTTCCACCTAAAAGTCCTGAGAAATGCATCTGTGTTGTACATTACACATGTCATATTCTTACTTTCGGGATTGAACAGCTTGGGCAACACACACACAGTGACTTCTAAATAACACGGATTATTTTTTTTTTTTTTTAAATTCACGACTGCAGCTGCATCTAAAACCAGTATCATCATCAGCCACGAGAACCACAGTGGTACTGATAAAGCTGTAATGTCACAGACCACTTCTGCTATTTAATATAATTACTTAGATTGCACAATTTCTGTTGCATAGTTGTGCAACAGAAGCTGCCCCTACGTCTGGGGGATTGTGAACAGAATATGAAGAAACAAAACTGCTCAGTAACTCCAACGAAATCTGGTGTTTCTTTGTAAAACAATCATGTCCTTGCACGTGAAATTGTGCAAGGGCAGGGAATCCACATTTCCCAATACATCCACTACATTATTCCTCTTCCTGCCCTCCTAATACTTGGTTTCACCTCTTTTTTAAAAAATGTAAGCTATTCCACCCATTGCATTTATAGACACTTACTATGGAAATGAAGTTGAGCTCGGAGCCAGAACCGGAGGATTCTTCCAAAACTCATCCAGTAAACTTTGAATAATTTTTCCAAGATCTGAGTGCATTGTAAACTGGTAAAGACAAAAAACAAAACCCAATGCAGGAGAAAAACTATACCTAGAATCCAAAAGTTGAAAAATGTGCTGGATACTGTTTCAGAGACATAACAACTAATGTAAACTGTGTATACCTAAGCTCCAAATAAAGTGATAAAGCCATCCAGAACAGAACAAAAACTACAAGTCTTTTCTACATGCCATTATCCATGGAGAATCAATGAAGTACAACATTTCTGATGAATAATCAGAACTCCCCTCAAATAAAAACTTAGTTATCAAGTTACATTTGGGAAAACAGAGAAGGGGAGGGAATTAACATTTGAGTCAAAAAAGCATTAATTGCAGTCTGAAAAAGGCATAACCTCCCCCCCATCTCATAAAACTACCACATTCTTGTTGGCAGAGAAAAAGGGGGGAAAACCCCCCCCCAAACCAGCATGTTAAAATCCTGAATATTAGAGCTAAAACCCTGACATCGTTCTAATAGGATTAGGGCAGAGAGAACTGTGTTACAAAACAGTCTTAAAGCCTCCTTCTCCCTTATTTGGGATACACTGTAGAAAAACAAAACTGTGCTATTGGCATTAACAAGAAAAGTGACAGGAAATTTCAAAGCCATCATAACTTAAAATTGTTTCAGATATAGGGAATACTCAACTCAGTAATAGTAGCAGCAAAAGAATAAATAGTAGTATACAGAACACTGATGAATTTTTGTTTTCAGACCCCTCAAAATACGGTTTGAGAGGGATCAGAATCTGTACTAGTCTTTTTTACCTCAAGTATTAAAATTGCTATTAACAGTAGATATATGTGATGCTACAAATTATACATACATTACTGATTAGTGGACCAGTCACATAAACTCCCTGCTTGTCCATTAAATGATGTCTCACAGGTGGGAAAACACTGATGACTGGCTTTTCCTGAGGAAACTGAGGTGGAAGCAAGCTGCAAATACAAGAATAATCATTACTACAGCTATATCCCATGATAAAATTTCCAAAAGAAGGCGATCAGAATCTGTACTAGTCTTTTTTACCTCAGGTATTAAAATTGCTATTAACAATAGATATATGTGATGCTACAAATTATACATACATTACTGATTAGTGGACCAGTCACATAAACTCCCTGCTTGTCCATTAAATGATGTCTCACAGGTGGGAAAACACTGATGACTGGCTTTTCCTGAGGAAACTGAGGTGGAAGCAAGCTGCAAATACAAGAATAATCATTACTACAGCTATATCCCATGATAAAGTAGCATAACGAAGGCTTCTTATGTAAAAAAAAAAAAAAAAAAAAAAAAAAAAGAAAAAAAATTACTATTAATTACATTAACTTATTTTTCTACAAGAAGAGTTATGAAGAAATACAGAGTGAATGAAGCACTCAAAATTAAAAGTCAGACAGATTAGAATATGAGACTTCCACAGAACCAAAGAGAGCATTTACTGGGCAAAACTGTGCTATTAACAATGAAGCAATTACATCTATGGTGAAAAAAAAAAATAAGTAGTATAACAAGAATATATCCTAATACAAATGTTATTCCTACAAAGACAGTGCAGTATAACCTGCAAGAATTATCAGACAAGTTATCAATCTAAACTAATAAAAAACCCTCCTGAATAGAATACCATCAGTACTTGCCAGAGCAAAAGCACCCCCCAAAGTAAATTCCCAGGAAACGCTACAATAAAAACCACTTAAGTTATGATCCAGAAGCTTCACTGGGGTAAGAGTTAGGAATTACAGCAGATTAGTAAATTACTAATTCAGTTTATTTTCAGTTGTAGGGGATTCAAAGTCATCATAAACTCTCAAGCATTTTCTCCTATTTACCTTCAACTAAAACCACACAGGTATCTTAGGAGCTGAGCACAGCAAAATGTAGTTTTCCTTTCAGCTGAGCATCTGCATCTTGTACAGAACTAGTTTTATTTACATCACTACAACTACTAATATAAATCCAGATTTAGGCTCTGTTACTAGTTTTTTGAGAACAATTTTAATTTTCCAGATATGCATAGAGATATCTCACTCTACTTACATGTTAATATTAATTGTCAAGTTGTTTACAGTGAATGGCAGTCGATATTCCACATCTTTCTGAATTTCTGCAATGCTGTCAAAGAAGAAATTGTTAGCATCCAATTCTTGGTCAATATAACAGCCTAAAGTCTAAAAAAACAAGGCATGACCCTAGACCTTTGCATTTTGTTTAATTTTGGAAAGCCTTGTAATAATAAATTTGAAAATGCTGGAATAAGTTAATATGCCTCAGAATGCTATATTGCATATAAAGATTAAAGTAAAAAATAGTAGATTCAACTTTTAAACCTCAAACAAGCAATGGAAATACAGGAGAAATTCCACTGCTCGCTGATCTGACAACAATCTCAACTATTTTTTTCTCCAATTACTGACTGAATTCAAGACATCACATCAGGGATTTTTTTTACATACTAAATTTCATCTGATAAAACATTTATTTTGCCAAGGCATTACACAACTAAGTATTGCTCTGCAACACTGCCTATCGATCAATATTTAGAACATACATCACACGAGGCTTTCTTTCTCAATAGATTACCTTACTATTTGATGGTAGGTTTTTTCCACACACACCAAGTTCTATGCACTTGCACAGATATATTCAAGAACAGCTACTTGCAAGAACATAAAGCTCTGTAACCCAGTGACACTCAAGACACAGACCCCCCTGGAAGGACCGAGTGAAGAAACATGTATCTTATGAAATCTGGTAAGACCGAATCCAAATTTGCTTCTCCTGTAACTCGTGAGTTACTGAGAAAAATCTTTACATCAAATGTATTAATTGGAATTAACTGCATTAATAGGAAGCTGATTTCAACACTCAAAGCACTCTATAATTTGTATGCACAGCAAGACTGTTTGGAAAGATCCCATGGAATGTGGAGGAGGAAGAGGGAGAGGACGAGTACAAGACTTAGGTCAGAAGCAGAATTTCTGGGCAATACGAACGTACCAAAGTTGAGACTTAGAGAGAAATGAGGGCAGAAAACTCAGCTTCATCTTACAACACCTCAATTAAAACGAACTTAAAAAGCAGCCTGATTCCTCCTCTATGTATTTTTGTTCCCTACACCTGGTTAATAATATTATTTTCCCTCACTTCACTAAGGCTCCCTTATAAAGGGAGGGAACACAGCTACAGTTGGGAATAATGGCAGCTGGGTGTTCCCAGAAATCCTCTTTCAGAAATCCAACTCCAGAAATGCCCCTCCATCCACCTCCAGGCACAACCCATACAATTACTTCCTCAAAAAAAACCCAGAACATGTTATCTGCAAGTGTGTGTGAAGTGTAGTGCTAGAAGTGCTTCATACCCCTGCAAAGCATTATTTGCACAGGGAATTTAAAACTCTACTTTTCAGAGCTTCAGGAATAAACGGAGTAGGACACAAACCTAGTGATATACACCCTGCTTTCTGCAGCCCGACCTCACTGCTCTTGCAGACAGCTCGGTATCTGCTCCTTCCCTGTGAAATCACACGCCGTGTGAAGAAACCATCAGGTACCTTCAGCACAGGAGAACCCAAATCAGAGTGTAGGGCTCTACTGTGACACACCACACACCGAAATCACCACCTCCTCACCCTTAACTGAAGGATTCTCCCTGGAACCTCTCACGCACGTTCCTGCCCTGTAATCACCTGTCAGGCATTTTAATGGCCTGCTGCAAAATCCTTTTGAGAAGGGTATATAATTATGCTCCACTCCTGCGCACAACCTATAGGAACTGGGGAGGAAAAAAAAAGAACAGGGAGAGAGATAATCCAGAATCTCACTGAGCTGCCCAAACTGTTACAACCTCCTTTAAGAGAATCTTTGAACCGATAAACTTAGTTGTCCCTTCCCCAAGTGGGAATGGGTACACTGGAAAAATCACACATTCTTAACTTTGGCTAGAACAACAGCAAGTGTAAGAAGCTGGTTTTTAAACACAAAAACTTGATTTCAAGCTCCTAAACTGCAAGGGATCCTGAAAAGGAAGACTAGCTACTTTAATAAAATTAAGATCACATACACCCGGGCTTTTATGTTCTAAGACAACACAAACAAAACTTACCTAACTTAGGTAACTACACCATGCCAACAATTTTATTTTGAGCATTTCACAGAGGAGCATCTGGGGTACACATAAACGAATGACAAAATGTACTTATCAGACAAAACAAACACTAGAATGACATTTCTTTAATCACTGCTTAGGAAACAATGCTGGTGCAATGCTAAATGCATATTCCCATCCTATAGGTCTGTACTGCTGTGGAGTCTATAAGCAAGCACATCAGTCCCACCCAAAAAAAAGACTTTGCACTTTTGCAAACTTGTACAAGTACACATGCCTTTTTAAGAGCACAAAACTTGATGCACTGTTACTCAGATTAATTCAGTAATAAGTATCTCTTATGCAAACTATACAGTTCGCTAGCATTGACTTCTTTGTTTGCCTAATTTTTGCTTTTTTTTTTTTCATCAAGAAAAATGAATTGTCAAAAGAGACCAGGTAGGTTAGTTCACACGGCTGTGAAGTTACATCTGAGCAGCTACCACATCTCCCTACTCTTCATCTCCATTCCTGGCTGCTGGGTCCCTTCCCTCTCTGCCTGTGCTTGAACCAATGCCTGCACAAACAGGTAGTAAACAAGTTCAACAAGCTGACTTTGACAAAAACCGATTGCCCTTTTTGCAGTCTTAACTTGGAGTGAGGTCACCTCCCTGGCAGGGAAAAAAAGGGGTAGAAATAAAAGGCTAAGTAAGGCCACTCCAACAAAAGCATCCAGTTAGGTAAAGTGCTGCATACCCACAGAGACAGCTCCTTAGAAAAGTGAACTGTCTTTCAAAAATGTTTGCGAAATCGGCTCTAAACAGATTTATGTTTAAGCAAGCAGCAATCATAGAACTGTCTATAAGATCATCTAGCCCAACCGTCAACCTAACTCTGATAAAAATCCATCACTAAACCATGTCTCTCAGCACTATGCCACCCCGTCTTTTAAATATCTCCAGGGATGGTGCCTCAGCCACTTCCCTGGGCAGCCCATTCCAATGCTTAACAACCCCTTCAGTAAAAATTTTTCCCAATATCCAACCTGAGACCGCTTCCTCTTGTCCCATCGCCTGTGACCTGGGAGACAAGACCGATCCCCCCCTCTCTACACCCTCTTTTCAGGGAGTTGTAGAGAGCAAGAAGGTCTCCCCTCAGCCTCCTTTTCTCCAGGCTGAACACCCCCAGCTCCCTGAAACACTCCTCCTAAGATTTAGGCAACAAGTCAACACTTAGCACTACTGTCATAATTATGTTTCCTATGTGATAATTCAAAATATTAGGATAGCGAGCAAACTGCAATTATTAAACTTTGAAATACAGTCAGTTTCTCTTTCACTCCTAGTGTCAGTCTGACATAACAGGAAATATTGTAGTTTCTTTTTTTGGGTCACTTTGCGAGGCTCCTATCATTCTGCTTCAACAGACATCGTAGGGAGGATGAACGCTTACACATTCACAGAAAATATAACTTGAAATACATGGAGCGTGTATCTCCTTTCAGAAGACGAACGCTTTCAGAAGACTGAAATTTAGGCAAAACAGCTCAGCGTACTGACAAGCTGGAGCATCTCGGGATAAAGGAAGGTGTTTTGCTGTAAAAGTGCGGCTGTTGAACATGAAAAAAAAAACCAAACCCAAACACTTGCCTTTAAACAGCATTTAAACAAAACAAGTTACTAAGGAAGAGCCGGGTATTAGCGAGGGAGCAGCGTCCCTCAGCCCGCAGAGCCCTGACACCGCTGACAGGAGCGCTGCGCCCTCCCCCGCACCACAGGTTTTATTATTCCTAACTTTTAAACAACTACGCTCCCACCGCCCGCTCCCAGGCGGAGGCCTGTATCCCAACACACGCCACCCCTCCCTCTTTGCGGACTTTAAAGCCCATTAAATCATTTACCTCATGATTCCACCCCCCCCATTCCCCTTTGGCCGCTCCCGGCTCCTCACCCGCCCCGGGGGCCGCCGGGCCTCACCGCAGGGGGACAGGGCCGAGCCCCCGTCCCTGTGTGGGGACGCGGGGCGCTCTCCCGAGGCGCGGCCCCACAGGCCCGGGCGCAGGCCGGCTCCCTCCCTCCCGCCGCCCCCCCTCAGCCCGGCCGCCGCCACTCACGACGCGTGGGCTCCGCGCAGGGACTCGATCTGCCGCTGCTTCTGCTGCTGGAGGGTGGTGAGGGCGGGCAGCGGGGTGGCCGAGCCGCCGCCCTTGGCGAGGGGGAACAGCCAGTTCATCCTCCCTCACCCTCCCGGCGGCGGCGGCAGCACCGGAGGCCCAGGCCCGGCCTCCTCCCGCCCCGGCGCCTCTCCCCCCCTCACGGCGGCTGCGTCACCGCG